GCATACCTCGAATTGCCGAGAAATCGCCCTTCTTTTCGGGAGCCAACTACTTGGCATTGAAGTCTCCTTCCGACCCTTCAAGAATAGAGTTGCCCCAAGGTGTCGGTACATGACCCCATGTTGGGGTCATGAAGACCTCCATGCGGACTTTTGGACGGGGGCAACCGGACACATCTTTCCGAGGCGAACACAGGGGCAAGCGACTTCCGGCGATAACCCCGGCGACCATCCAAACCGACGGGTCCCAAAGACATCATTAAGAAGCTCTCAAACTGCATCTCCCCCACACATCTGGCAATTAAATCTGGGCCCCCAAAAAAACAAATAGAAACAAGCAAAATAGGACCCGTTAAGGTACCAAAAAAAAAAACGCAAAAAAAACTGGGACCCTTTAAGGTACCCCCCCCCAAAAAAAAAAGACACAGGGACCCGCTTGAAACGGCCGGCAAACCGAGCCGGGCTCGATCCCCCCGCACCGAAAATTCGCGTCTCCACTTGTCCTCCACAGCCTTGGTCTTCACCCGGTGCCCTTTGATGAGCTCCGCCAGCAGGGCACCCAGCCCGCCTCGAGGTCCGATCGGGGTTGCTGTCTGGCAGTGAAGCCAACCGCAATCAAACCTCAACAACATCTCTGCTCTTGGTGTAGCAAAAAACTGACTGTTTTTTGCAGACCCCCAGTAAAAGTGAACAGAACCAAAACATAAGAAACCAAAAAACATGCCAAGAACAGTGAAGACACGGTGTTGGTCAGATTTGATCAGATTTGGTCAGGTCTGGTTTTGGGGATGGCGGTTTGGGCCGCCCATTGGCTGGTGGCGTCCTTTGCGGTTTCCGGTAACGGCTTGCCCTTTACCCCCCCCCAAACCCCCAAAGCAAAAAGGGTACCCTAAGTCGTGGTTGCTTTGGTGGTAAGGGGACACCAAAGGAGAACTGTGCGGCTCCGGGAAGCAGGGGAAGGAGGGAATGGTTTCCACTGTGGCTTCCTTCAAGGAAGACCCCCCGCTTCATTCTCACATTGCCTACCTTTCACACCAGCAAGTTAAGTTCTGTGTTGGGAAAGCCTTTCAACTTAAAAAGTCGAAATCGGAGGCGCGAACCCAAGGCCAAAAATGGCCCCGTCAAAGCGGAGCTCTGAGGGCCTCCGAACCGAAGGGACCCGGGTGCAGGCCACACCCCGAGCAAAAACCGGAAAGGGGGCCTCCCAAGTCGGAGAAGAAAAAAAAACTGAGTTCTGAGTTCTGAGTTCTGTGATTCTTATCGACTCAAACCTTCTGGTTTCCGAAGACCGCAGTCCCAAAACGTAAAGAAAAGAAGAAAAAGACATACAGCTGGAAGTCCCAGAAGAAAGAATACGAAAGCCCAGGAGAGGGTCACAGTCAAAACCCGGCATTAAAATGATCTACCCAGAACCATGTAAAGAATTAAAAAGGCGGCCGCAACTATTTCTGGCTGGGACTGCCCCTTACTAACCTTCATCTACCCGGGTTTTGATTGTGGCTCAGGAGATGCAGTGGCCCCAGACGCCGAAAAAAAGAAAAAGAAAAAAAGGAAAAAGGGGAGAAAAAAAAAAGAAGAAGAAAAAACGGCCTGGGGGCGGGTGCTGCAGGCAGAACGCAACAATCACGGACAGCACAGCAGTCTGGCTGTCCACCGGGATGTTCATCGCAGCCCACACCTAGTGGATCGCTCTCGAAACCCCTGACAAATGTTATGGTGGGCATCGTTGAGAAATGTGCTTTATTACTTCATCGCTAGATAGTTTTAGTTTATACAGCAGTTGGTCCAACTTTTCCAGCTTGGGTTTTGCTTTCGGCTTCTTGAACCAAAGACCAAAGGGTGTTTGCGTTTGTTGCTGTTCCATGTTTCTAAATTGGTACCCTTAGACTGGCTGCTTTGAGGCTCGCTCGGTGCAGTTTGTTCTTCGATCTTAAGAGGAACAAATGACCTGGACATGGGGAATGAAACCCATCTAAACCAGCCATCGATTTCCCTAACCAAACTCAGCGATGAGAAAAAACATGAGAGAGTAGCGGGAACAGGGCGGTTCCAAGAAGGGAGAAAGGATGACATGAATGCGGAGAATATGCGTAGCTACGAGAAAGGTGACTGTGGCTGGCCTCTCTTGACACGTCCGGGGGGGGGGGAGGGGGCGGATTTCTCAAAATACAGCAGCCCCCCCCACCCAGTTTCGCTATTTTAAGGTGAAACCCCAAAGAAGTGTTCTTTTTGGGGGACCCCCCCCCCCCGGCTTTGCTCTTTTAAGGGGAAACCTTCTCAGGAAAGCTCATGGGCCCACTTCGGGGCCCAGTGAGCCATGGCAAGCCACCCACGGCCCGCCTCCACCCAGTCTTTGGGCTTGGAAGCAGCACCCTGCACCACCAAAGTGTCCAGGTAGCGCCTGGGGGCGGAGGGGGGGGTAGCGCCTGGGGGGGCACCTCAGGAGGAAGGGGGGGCAGAGGGTAACATGTGGGGGGGGGAGTGCCTGGAAAGGCTGGGCTCAGCTCCAGTCGACTTTCTCAGCTTTTACGAATTTCAAGCGAACTCGAAATCATCAGAATTCGGGGAGAAAGATGTACACCAACCACTTTGAAGCTTCCGCCTCTTTGGATTGGTTTGGAGGTCAGGGGCAAACATACCGACAGGGGTCAAGTGTATAAATCTTAAGACCCACTTTGGATGCCTTGAACAAATCTTCCAGCAAGAGGACAAGGAATTTGTGCTTGAACATGGACCGTAAAGAAAGCAATAATAAGTTGGCATACCCAACCGCCAGTTACTCGTTAGCACACATTCAGAAAGTCTCTAGAGAATGGGTGGGCCTCTAGTTGGGGGTCCATGTGTTACCTGATTGCTACGCACCATACGGGGACCCTGGATTAAGTAGATAGAACCTTGCAACTGGATTCAGGGCTGATTGTCCCTGAGGCCTAAACGCTTAGAACACCCAAGTGGTGATCATGGTGTATGACAGGCTTGATTGGACATGCTTCAACCGTTCAAACGCGCCCACTGCCTTTTCCGGCTAGTTTAAGCAACACGCCAACAAGCAAACGGAAGGCAAATGGAAGGCTTCCGGTCGAAGATCCTCATGGTTTCACTTCCAAGGAGCTTTCCGGGTCAACGTCCAAACCTTTTGGAGCTTGGTTTGAGAAGGACACTGGTCGCGCGACCAGCCGTACCCACCAAGACTCGGGCGCACCTCATTTGCCATGTTATTTGCGAGAAGCAAGTACTGTTGTCCGTTGCTTCATGTTGAGCTCGAGAAATGGTATGCTAAGAGTGGCTCAAGACATGCCATGCTGCTCCTATCGTTATTTACTTCGGTTCAAGCACCTCAACCATTCTACTTGTTTAGGCCCACAGGAATGCAGGAACAAAAAAACACAGTGGATCTCAAGGGGGCCCGTTTAGAGCACGCACACACCCACTCCACGAGGTAGTTGAAGCCAGGGTCGACATGAGATAGATGAGTCGGTCTTATAGCCTAACAAGCAAAATTTTGGGGCATCCACCGGATGAATCAGCCAGGGGTTTACAAATCAACTGAGACAACTTTAGTAGGCCCAAAGCGAGCGATTTTTTGGGCTGAAAGAGAAAGAGGGAAGCCAATCTGGCCCCATGCTCGCAAAAATCGGGCCCTTAAACACCTCCTTTAAAACAAGTGGAGCCCATTCTCACAGATTCAGCAAAACCAAACTCACTACTTTCAAGATCCCATGCTCATGCATTTAGCAAACACACATCGTGTTGCGAACCCATTCTCAGCGAATTCTCAAGATCTCATTCTCGTGGCTTACCCTTCCTCCAACTAACATGGCGCCTGTGGGGAGGTGCCTGGAAGATGAACTTCCTTTTGAAGGGGCCAATTTCCCTGTCATGATCCCACTCTCATGGATTCAACCAACCAAACATGTTTGTTCATCTCAAGTACCTAGAGTCTCCTTCCGCTGGTCACTTTCCCAAAACAATGATTCGTCATTGACCAAAGGCTGCTTGCCTGCCAAGTTTGCCCTGCAACCCCTGCAAGTCCACTCCTTGTCCCTGGCCAAGGCCACTGCCTGTCCCCCGAACTGCAATCCTTGCACAGCCTCCTTGCAACTCCAGTGCCCAGCAGGCCTTTGCAAGCCTGTCTGTTGGTGCAGTTGCAAGGAGGATTTGCAAGCATTGCAGAGTTGCTTGCAGCTGTCGCTTTCTGCCTTGCAGGGTTGCAAGCTTGGCAGGCTTGCCAGGGCAGCCTTGCAACTATTGGCAGAGGCTGCTTCGCAAGGATTGCAGTTTCGGAGACAAGCAGTGGACTTGCAAGCGTTGCGGGGTTGCAATTTGGCAGACCTGCCTGTTAGTGGAGTTTGGAGACTCCAGGTAGATCCTCCCTGTGGGGCACCTGGAAGTTCAATTTCCTTCTGAAGGGACCATTTCCCTGTCACCTGCCGCCCCGCCTCAGGGTCTCCTCCGCCACGTGGCCCTCCACCACCACCTTGGCCTCCTGCACCTCCCCCATCAGCGCGTAGAGCGGGTCGCTGCGCTCGAAGTCCCGCCAGCTCGAAGCCTTCCGGAGCGCCTCCGCGTCCTCGCAAGGGGGTGGAGTGGATGGGTGGGGTGGGGTAGGAGTGGGTGGGGGTGGGAGTGGGAGTGGGTGGGGGTGGGAGTGGGTGTGCTCGAGGTGTGCCGCTCGAGTTTGGTTCCGTTGCCAATTGAATTACTTGATGTAATATCAGTAGCATCTTTGATGAAAATGGCTGAGCGTCAGAATTTGTGACAACACCTAAGCTATGTTTTAAGTCATCTTCACTCATACCTATTCCATTGCCTAGCACTTTCAAAGTGGCTTTTTTGACCTAAACAATGTCAATTTTGAAGTCTCCAATCTTCGATCATGTGTGGTACCTGGAGGGATTTGAATCGCCCCAACCTTGATGGCCCGATTGCGTTACTCCGTTCTTTAAACAGCCAACCCCCGAAAAAGGTGCCGTTTTTTTGAGAACGATTGATGCGGTTGGTGGTCTGAAAATAGGAAAGAAGGAACCCAAGGCTTGCTTTGGTTTCCCTTCAAAAAGCCGACCCCAACAAAAACGGTGCCGACTCCTCATGGGGGCTGGCCCAAATAAGCCATTATATTATATGGCCTGATTTGATTGAGGCTTACTTGGGCTCCCTCCCCCCCCCCCCCCAGGCCTTCCCCTCCAGCCCCCAAGAACACAGGAAAACTCGATGCACCCAAATGGTTGTTGCCTCAAAATAGGAAAGAAGGCACCCTCGAAATGTGTGGTTTGCTTTAATTTCCCTTTAAAACCAACCAAAAGGCGACGCCCTCGACAGAATGGCGCGACCAAATTGAAGTGGCGAAATAATCACACACTGTATTCTCCCATGAACACATGGTAATTTGGTGTCACAATACTCCACGACCCCATTGGCCTTTAGAGCATCAAGTTCGGATACTGGGGGGGAGGCTTCTCCCTTTGGCCCACTTAACTGGGCAGGGTACTTAAGTGGTTAGTAAGCCTGGTAAGCCACGGAGGCCGACTTCGAACCCTGTCTTTTGGGGTATCTCACCAGGCTTACTCTCACCACTTACCTGATGCAATCGCCCCAGCGAACCAAGCTCCGTCTCGGCTTCGAACCCAATCCCAGATCCTCTCAAGAGCACAACTGGTCGTTTCGATATGGCTATGGGTCAAAACCCCGGTTATCCCCCAGTGAACGGGACCCAATCCAACCACTAAAATAGGTTCTAACATGAGTGGTGAATTCACCTATCCCAAAATGGTATCCCATTGGTGTTGACCCACGGCCATACTGTGGATGGGCGAAATCCATTTCGCACCACCTTTCAGAAACCCTGGAATGATTCGATTCCCCTGTACATACCAACCAACGTTGTGGTTTCAACCATGGTTTCATTTCGTGGTGCGAAGGGATTTCGTCCATCCACAGTATGTTCCCTTTCAACTAGTTGTTTCTCAAAAATTGGGACCCCTCCAAGTGGTTGGTTTCCTGCTGTTAATCAAAACCATCCAAGGGGTGGTTCTTTTTTTGAGACACCCAACTGCAAAACATCCATGAGGCTCGGCAACAAGAATCACTTGAACCGCGTCCTCCTCCGCTGCACGCTTCATCGCTTCATGCAGCGGAAGCCAGCGAAGCAGCGTGCACAGATAGCACGGGCGGCTCGTCTTTTTTCGTCAGAAATTCGGTGCCCCTATTTGGGTTGGGTGTTTTTGTTGGGGGAACCAAAAGAAAAGGCTACCTTGCTGTGTCTGTGTTGGAAAAGGTTGGTGTTAGAGGGCAACCAAAAGGAAAGGCCACCTCGGTGTGCTTTTGTTGGAGAAGGTAACCATCTTTGGGTTGGTGCTACAGGGAAACCACAATGAAAGCTACCGGTTTGGAGGTCCTCTAAAAACAAAAACACCCAGACATCAGCGTGGGAAACGGCATGCAGCAAAAGGATTCGCCGATGTGCTGATGCGTGCGGCTCAGGTGCTGCTTGTCAAAGTCTGTGTCTCAGTACTTGGGGAATTGGCTGTGTGAGGTTTCAACTAAGGACAAATAGTTGGTGTCTCAAATAGTTGAGGTTGTCAACTAAGGGAAATGATGTGAGGTTTCAAATAGTTGGTGTGCCTTGGAGGGCTCGGCTGCCGAAGCTGTGCTTGATTTTGCCACCACATTCCCAACTGCTGCCGCTGCCGAAGCAGCAAGGATGCCCGCTGGGCTGATGCGCCGGCTCAAATGAAAATGTGGTCCACTCTGACACATCAAGCCACAGAGTGCCACAGAGTGCCACAGAGTGCCATTGACCTCAGCGTAGAACTGGATCAAATTAGATGCAATTCATAAGTTGCAGATAGGTCAGAATAAATTCAGAAAAGCTCTAACTGACCTATCTGCAATTATGTTTTCTTCTGATGTATGACCTAGAAACAAAAAAACTAATATGTTGGCTCTAACCTTCGTCTCAATCCCACGCTTGGGGCAAGGGCGGGGATCGCACCCAAAACACCCCGATCGACAAATGCGCCCCATCTGCCGAGAGGTGCGCCTCTTCAGGACAAATCGAGCGCTTCACCGACTCATGACCCAACTGGGCTCGACAAAGAGAAAGGAATTTGTTTTGTTGGAAGGTACCCCTTTTCTGTGGCTTTCAAGGAAGCCCAGAGGAAAGCCACCTCAATGGGAGGTTGCCTGCAAAAAGATCCAAGTCTAAGATCCCCGAAGCAAGTTGGGTGTCTCCTTTTTGGTGCGACCCCCAGCATGGTGGTTCTTCCTGTTGGTTTCCACTTAAAACCACCCGAAAAAGGGTGACCGACTTAACAAAGACACCCACATGTAGGCTTCGCCAAACTTCCTTTTGAAAGACAAATGACATTGGCAAATGATTAGAACCAAACTGACATCAGCGGCTTGCCTGTGGATTCGCTTTGCTCGAAAGGAAACCTCCGAATGGTGTTTCTCAAAGTCAGGGGCACCTCCAAGTCACAGGCTTCTGCTGGTGTCACCTCGAGTTTCCAAGCAAGCGCTCTCAACTCCGCGCTTTAAAGACCCGAATCGTGCGAGTGAAAACAAAAAGAATCAGCTCACTTTCGAACCCTTGGGCTTGCAAACGTGAACCAAACGGTTTTGAAGTACCTGGAGGAAGGCGTAAACACCGCCCCAACTTTACTGCTCCGGCCACTGTCCGAGTAACATTCCGTTACTCCATACCATCGCCTACAGAACCAAAAGGCAAAAGCAGCTACAACCTTCCAACCAAGCAACCACTTGTTGGGGGGGGGGGGCTTCCCTATGGCAGCCTTGGGTGAAATGGGGGGTTGATCAATATTCTATTGAGGGCTCCCAAATGAACACGGGCAACTTCTCCCATTTTAGCGGGAAAGTCGTCTTGTTGGTGGCTTTTCCTGGTTGCGGACCTTCTGATCAACCCCCAAATCGATCGCAAACCAAGACCTATTGGTGTGTCTTGTTTTTTGAGGCTTCCCTTTTTGGATGTGTTTCAGAAGGGAAACCAAAAGGCAAACCACACTTTTTGGGGGTCCAAGCTTCCACCCATGTTCCCTTTGACGCACGGGTCCCAGACTCCGATTCCCAACGCTGGCCGGGGCTGCCAAAAGTTCTCGCGAGGCACCGTAGGCGCCATGCGCGGGCACCTCCGCTCGAAACGCGTGCGCCGCTCGTCCCCTTTTTTCCGGGTCGAAGGGTGTGTCTTGTTCTAGGGGACCCCATAACAGGACGACTTTCCTTTTGGCTTCCCTTTACAACCGAACCAAAAAGGGGGTCTCATTAAAAAAAAAAAAACGACACACCCAGACAAGGGATCCGTGCCGAGAAACCCTACTTGAAGCTGTTGCCAGGGCCGAAAGGGGCTGAGTCTCTGCCTAGGCTCCCAAAATCGGAGCCTCTGATGAAACTGTCCTTCCCAGAAAACCGCCGGAAATCCAAGTCGTCCGGTTTCGGCTAGCCATGGTTGAAAAAACCATTTAATATGTCGGATGTGGATTGACTTACTCATGTCGGATGTAGATTGACTTAAAATGGAGTAGTAGTAATAATAGTAATAATAAGAATAATAAGTGAGTGTATCAGTAGAATGGTCCAGACCCAAAAAGCTTCAAGTCCGAAACGGAACTCAGGGCAGGAGCTTCCTTCCGGTGGGGCAGGTGGCATTTCCAACCCAAAAAGCAGGTGGGTTGGGGAGAGCCCTCTGGGATGAGTTTCTAAACCCAAAAAAGGGGGTGAAGTTGTAACCAACTCGTCAAAGGGCACCAGACCCAAGCCATTGTAAATTCTTTGGCTGGTTCTGGCAGATTCCAAAAGTCCCAACTTCTGGTTTGGAATCAAAGGGCGCCGGGTGCTGGCGAACGGGTTCCTTATTTGGATGCTGGGTCAAGCTGGTAAGTGGTTAGCCACCTGGGTTATAATCCACTAATAACAAGGTTAACTCCACCGAACGGGGGCCTTACAAGCGGTTTATAACCTGGGTTACCAGCCAACTTACTAACTCGGCGAATCGAGCACCCAAGTTCACTCCATGTTCCACCAAAAGCGGCAACAACCCTAGTGAACTTAAGCACCTCACCCGCAAGGACCCAGAGACCAAAACTTAACCTCTTCTGAAACAACCATTTACAAACGGTCTGCCAAACAACCCAATTTTGTGAATAGACCTCCGAATTGTAAACTCAAAGCTCGAAAGGTCAATTTGCTCAAAGCCCAGCTTGCTAGGAACTTCGGCGACAGGCTTGGCTCGGAAGCAATGGGGGCTTCCAAAATGGCGTGTCCTCTTGGTGTTCCTGGAAAAATTATCCGAAAGGGGGTCTCAAAAATAAAGACAGGCCCATATGGCGGTTGAGGTGTTTTTTTTTTTTTAACTAGCCCCGGCTTTTTACTAGCCTCGGCTCAGCACAAGGCCTCACTCCAAAGAGGTTGGCTGGGGGTTGACGGCCGCATCCCCAGCATCCCCAACATTTCCGGTTTCGTGTCAGGGCTGGCATTGCCGGCCTCACTCGGACTAGAGCTGCTTATTGGCTTTGATTTGGAGGGTTGCTCGGGGCTGGTGTGGGGCGAGTGTTGGTCTTGCTGAGGTCTTAATGAGGGCGGGTCCTGGGTTTGTTTGAGGTTCGCGTAGGCTCGGCAAAGGGCTGGTATGCAGGATGCGGTTGGGAGGGTTTAAGGTTGACTTTGGGAAGGTTTTGGCTTGGTTGGGGCTGATCTGTGCTAGGTGTGCGGCTGGTTTAGCCGTGGCTTTCGGGTTGCTTCAGGGCGTAGTTATGCAAGTCAGATCAGCCCCAACCAAGCCAAAACCTTCCCAAAGTCAACCTTAAACCCTCCCAACCGCATCCTGCATACCAGCCCTTTGCCGAGCCTACGTGAACCTCAAACAAACCCAAGACCCGCCCTCATTAAGACCTCAGCAAGCCCAACACTCACCCCACACCAGCCCCGAACAACCCTGAAACCAAAGCCAATAGGCAGCTCTAGTCCGAGTGAGGCCGGTAATGCTGGCGATGCGGCCGGCCAGCCCGAGCAACTGTCAACTACCATCAAGTCATGCCCAATACGCAGCCCTGAAAAGAAACCAGAAATGCTGGGGATGCCGGGGATGCCGCCCAGCCGACCGACCGACCGACCGACCGACCAACCAACCAACCAACCAGCCTCCTAAGCCGGGGTTTAGCCCCGAGCCGGGGCTAGTTTAAAAAAAAAAAAAAAATGTTTCCCCATATGGCTGTGGGTCAAAACCAATGATACCATTTTGGAGTAGGTGCACCACCCATTTTAGTCTATTTTAGTGGGGATTGGGATGTTCACTGGGGGATAACCGGGCTTTTGAACCATGGCCATATTAACAGTTTCCTCAAGGTTTTATTCGCAACGAACAATTGGCGGGCCATTCGCTCACATTCACTTTTGAGGCGCTCGCCTACAGTCGCAACCATCCACTGGCCCCAAAATTCAGAGAGAAACGGATGGCTCGTCTTTTCTTGAGGGCAACCTGTTTGGGTTTCTATTTGTTCAGGGAAGCCAAAAGGAAAACCGCCCCATTTGTCCAGCCCCCTCAAAAACAGACATGCCCAAACGCACCCGCAAAATGTTCCAGCGGCAAAACGAAATCGCGGGCGGCCTGCGAGGTGCCCTTCAAATTCTCCTGCAGTGCCTCGTGTCGCAAGCCAAGCGCTCGCGACACGTGCAGACAGAGGGCGGAGCCTCATTGGACTCTTAGACAGGCCTCATGACCTTTGTCTCAAGAATAGCAAGGGAAAGAGGGGACCCCCAAAAAAATCATTGGTTTCCCTTGGGTTCCTTTTACAATCCAGCTCCCTTCCAACAAAAGGCACCCCTTATCTTGGTCGACGTTCAACCCTAAGCCTAGGATCTGAGCATGTTCATCGTTTTAGTCAAGGGCAAACCCAATCGTCGAACCACTTGTTGTACCATCAAAGCCACCCCCAAACATCAAAACCCCTGCTGACGTTTTTGACAACCCCCCCAGAAACTGAACCAAAACAATGACACCAGATGTGTTTCAAAAAAAGAGAAACGCATTTTTCACTGTTTGGACCAAAACAGAAAAAACATAGTGTAAGACCCTAGATTGTTTAGACCGTCAGTGCGGATTTACACAAAAAGAAGAAAGAAAAACCTGTGAGACCCCATAGTCTTCAAAGGGGTTTGGGGGCCCAGGCGCCCGCCTGCGGTATGGTAGACACCAACCATGGAAACCCAAGTTCTCCAGCCGTCTGCTTAAAGGGGCGATCGATTCGGTACGTCTGGGAAGTTGTTAGATTGGTTATAAAACGGAGACTTGCAGCTTGCAACTTCCTTGGGTTTTTTGACCACGGATACGACCCACTAAGTAGTCTAAGCCACCCAAAAGCAGCAAATATGAGGACCACCGATCCAAATGGCCGTGAGTCAAAAATATGTACCCAAAATGGCTTGCCCTGGTAAGTGGAAACATGGACCAAAACCTGCGGTCCAATTCCTGGTGGTTTAATTTTGACCCATACCCACATGAAGGCGAAATACAGGGGGCAAGGGGCGGCGTGTCTTTGTCGAACCACGGACGCACCCCACCCCGCTGCGGCCCAAGAACCTGATTTCGATGATACGTGCCATGGTCAACCTGTGATACCGTGGACGAAATCCATTTCGCACCACCTGAGAAACCATAAAATGATAATTTGCCTGTGAATACCAACCAGCAATGATTTCTTATGGTTTCAAAGCCGTGCGAAACGGATTTCGTCCATCCACAGTAGGAACCCTTTGCAATGGTTCTCTACAATCCCTAAGGCGCTGATCACCATCCCCCTTTGGGGTGTCTTGATGGGACACAATCCCATGACTCCTAAGCCTGGCCAGCAGTGAGGGCACAGCTGGAGGTCCGAATTGTGGCACTTGAGGAAGTCAATCTTCATATGGATGTGTGTCTTGTTTGGAGGTGTTCCCTTCTTTGATGGTTTTCCTGAGAAACCAAAAGGAATACCACAATTTTGGCGGATCCGATAGAAACCCTTGCTATCAGGGGTATGACTTTGTGGTGGGCTTAAATCATGATAGAAAACGTTTGTCTGATTGATAGGGTCGATTCATACTCGACCGGGCCACCTACTTCCCCTACAAGGCCCCCCGTCACTCCGAAAAAAAAAAAAAAAAGAAAAAAGCTCCGAGCACGGCGCCACCACACAAGAGGCTGCTAGCTTCAGCAGCGGCGCCAGCGCCTCGGCGCAGGAGGCGCAAGGCGGCGCTGTTTGAGGAGGCGGAGGCGTGGAGGTGGAGACGGTGCTGGTTGATTGCCCTCGCTTGAAAACCAGACGGAAAACCCGGCCAGCGCGCCAGCGCGCCAGGAGTTCCTAGAAAGACTTGCTGGTGCAATAGGGAGGGAATGAGTTGGAATGAACCCAGGCTTTGGCCCCCGAAAAAAAAAAAAAAAAAAAAAAAAAAAAAAAAGTTGGATGGTTTATGAGGGTCATTCCCTCATTCCCTGCGAGCACCAGCAAGTTGTTTGGGGGACAAGAAGAAAAGTGCATGCAGAAAAGGACAAATAAGGGGTTGACTATTTTCAGTGTTGCTGTGCATTTTGGGCACTCCCCTTAAAAGGGCTGTGTCTTTTTGAGAGTAATACTCCAGTGTCAAAGATGTTGTTTTAAGGGGATTATTCGCTCTTTTGTTTTTTTGCGGGGGCTCAATAGTCTACGCCTAGAATCATGACTAGAGTTTTAGTTTTAGAGTACCCCACCCCATTCCGAAAAAGTAGGCCCGAACATGCAGGCGTGTTGGGGGGGTGGTGCACTTGGGGGTGGGAGCAGCTTTGCTGTGTTTCAACAACCAACCCTAATGCTTGGTGTCCTTTGAAAGGGGAACCAAAGGGAGGCTGGTTCAGAAAACCATCTGGGTCTGTCTTTCTTTTATCTGTTTGGGGTTGGTGTCAAGGAAAACCAAAAGGACACCAACGATTTTGGGGTTCCCATGTTTTCAGACAGAGCCACTTACAACATGGTCAAATGTTGACACCTCAGTGCCCCTTGCGCCCAATGGCAGGATGAATGAACCGCTCCGATTAATCGTTTGGGGGGGGGGGGGGGGGCAAAAGTGATCCGGATCCCGTCTCAAAATGGGATGCGCATCCCCCCTAGACCAGTTGCTATGGGGAAAAATACTCGCACCCTGTGCTTGCTAGTCCAGGACTACGGGAAACCCCTCCAAGGGAAAAAGTGCACCGACTGACTCATGCATTCGGATTGATCCCTGCCCAAAAAGAAGGTGAAACCGACGTGTCCCCATCCTCACCAAACAAAGTGTCTTTGGTCAAATCTAAAGACATGGGTCTCTATGAAAGCAAACCTTCATGGGGTAACGTCACAACCCACCAAAACACGACGTCGCTTTCTTTTGCCCAGATCATCACCAGCTTGAATTAGATTGATTCCCTACGGAGCCCTCATGGGTAGGCTCGGGTTAGTTGAGCTCGCTGTGTTTCTTTGCGCAGAAAAGCGATCCTAAGGCGCCACCCAGAGCAAAGATTCCCCGTGACTTCTGCACTGTACCTACTCACTTGGCGAATTTCTGGCTGGAATCAAGCATGTCGTCTTTCTGTTGAGAGCACCTGTTTTGGGGCTTCTCCGGAAACCCAAGGGAAACCTCGGTGGATTTCCCGGGCACGTTCAACGGTGACAAAAAAGATCCATATTTCCGCTTTTCCCTCTAAGGGTAGTTTGGGGGTGGAGGGAAAGGAACCTTGCGGATGGGCTCACCCAATTCAAGACTACTTGCAAAAAGAGAAGAAAAAAAAACCTGGCGCTACTGCGATCGCGGGAGGATGTTGCCCCATCCGCCGACCTCGAAGGATCGAACGGTTCCTTCGCTCCAGCCGGCCTCTCGCGTCAGCACGGGCTTCTGAACCCGATCCTCCCCTCGGAAGCCTCGGCTCCGCCCAAGCCCATCGACGCCGAGGCCTTTGCGGATTCCCCTTTTGGAGCGGACGCTTGGAAGGCGCTCGAAAAATCATCAAACAAAACGACGAAATGAAAAAAATGGATCAAAGAAAGTCAGATACAAGTGGGAAAAATGGATCAAAGACAATCAAACAAAACCATGACATGTTACATGAAATAAATTCAAATAAAGTGTATCAAACATGAATTTAAACCCCTCATATGATCAATCGGCGCCACAGGATGAAACCCTGCTAAACATAAACTACTAACTGCGGCCTGCAAGATACGGCTATGAACGAAACCCATGTCGCACCACCGAAGAAACCACCAGAAAAAAACGCCCTTGTTTGTTGAGATTTACCGGGGAAGCGTGACACAAGGGTTTTTTCGGGCTGGTGGGAGAGAAATTTGAAGACCGATCCATCTTGAGGGTGCCAGGAGACCAACCCAGAGGGAAAGTGCGGCCCATCGGCTTTCTTGCCATCTGGTTGGATACTTTTCTGCCCCGCCCTCAGATGCCCCGCTCAAAGTTGTTCTAGTGTGTTAAATGGAAACAGCCACTAAACCAACTCAAAAGATCTAAAAAGCTCAGGAACCGGATGGCTGGCCACCAAGTTTTCTGCAACTCAAACATGTCAAGGGGTCAAAAAACTCATCGATGAACAAAGAAGCTCGGTGTTTTCCGGCGGCTTCCACGCTTTCCATTGGGCTACTGGCTTTGGTTGCCTTGCGCCAGTCGGGGCCGGATCCCACACGGTCATTGGGAATCGCATCTGAGTCGCCTACTCAAAGGGGCGATCGGGTACTTCGTAAGTGGGTAGTAAGCCCGGAATATAACCCGCACAAGCCACGGTTATAAGTCTCCGTGCAGTGGGTTATAACCAGACGTACGATCACCGCTTGCCGGAGGTACCAAAACGATCGCCACTTTAAGTAGTGTTATTCTCCTGGCTCGGAATTTTACCCCCAACCTCCTGATTTTGGCTCTCGTAGGTCGGCCCTTCCCTCGCCCCACCTCCCAATTTGTCACCGGGGGCCACTGATGAATTCCGCTCGACGGGCCTCAAGTGGGACACAGAAGGCTCTGCTGACGATGCAAACTCCAAGAAAACCCCAAGGCCATTTGGGTGTTTGTTTTTGAGGGTCGCCCTTTCAGGTTGGTTTAAAGTCACACGGCGTCTGCTGGCGCTGCACTGCATCCTGGGAAGCCGCATAGCTGCTCAGCACTGCCAATGTATGTCGAATGAGACGTGGGCAGGGGTGGCGCCAGGGATATCGAGCCCGGGGCGTCAGCAATCAAACGGCGCTCTCGTCCGAAGCTTGCCGAAAGCTATCAGAGCAAGCCACTCGCCAAAAGCAAGTAGGCGGGGGGTAGCTCCCACTGAAAGAGATAGACGAGACAAGCGGTTCATCGCTTGGTCTGCTCCTTGTCCCCGGGGCCAAAATCCTAAAACCCGTCACACACCAACTGGGGGTGTCTTTCTTCAGAAACCAAAAGGAAATCCACCATTTTGGGCTCCTAAGAAAAGACGCACCCATCTCTTTCATCTCTTGATTTCCAAATTCTAAAGGTACGAAAGGAAATGGGTAAGAGATGGAGAAAGGGAAGAAGATGACCCGATCTGTCGGGATAGAACCCACAAAAACCCACGCTCGAGGGCGGCCAGGCCTGGGCCGAGCCCTTGTTCAACCACTGGTGTTCAAACAACTTCCTTTTGGTTTCCCTTTGGCCCTTAAAAGGGAGGCTTCGGTCGAAACAAGCTTGCCCTGACTCCTGACCAAGGACGTGGTGTTCTACTCCTTGAATAGTGTGCGTGCCTTTGTGGTAGGGGATCCCAATCGAAATGGAAGATAGCACCTCTGAATGTGCATATATTTGTGCGTGTAATATATATATATATACATATATACATATATACATATATATCTATATATTTATATTTATTTATTTGTTTACACAAATAGAGAGACAAAGAAAGATATAGATAGCAACAAGGTTGAACAACATGTCCGCATGGATAGCATCCCCCCCTGTCCCCCCGGGAGGAATGTTCGTCAAGGTTACCGTCCACTCCGGTCCAAGAAACAGACCCCTCGAACTCCCAAGTCGAGGAAAATGGAACCCTGGGTGCAAGAAGAGGAAGCGCCAAACCAAAAAGACAAGTAGAAATGTTGATACCCGAAGCAAAGAACATCAATGTTAGGCAAGATGTTGATGTCCACCACCCACCTTTGAGGGTATTCCCTATTAATTATACCTCGTAGCCACTTCCCCCCCCCAACACCAACCCCCCCTCCCCCCTCCGGACGTCGGCCCAAACCGACGCCGAAGACGCGAAAAGGAAAAACACATGAAAAAAACGCGGCCCGGGGCTCCCCCACGGGGCGCGTCCCAGACATCTGACCACAGCGTCACCAAATCCTTACATCGAGGCGTTTTGGAGGGAAAAGTCCTCGGCCGCCCTGTTTATTTCTAGGCATATGGAGACTTCCGTGCCTGAACCACAGCCGTGTTGCCGAATTGGGCTGCCCTCAGATCCCCGGCGAAAAGTTCGACGAACTTTTAGTGGGTGAAATTTTCGCCAAGCCAGTTGAAACTACCACTAAACTAGCTAAAAAGCTCTAAAAAGCTGAGGAACCGGATGGCTGGGAGTCGCCAAGGCCCAGGAAAACCTTAACAGCTTCTCTCCAGTTGGTGTGGTTTGCCGAATCGGTGGTTTGGTGGGTAAGGGTCGGTTTGGTTAAGGGTACGTTGGTTTGGTTTGGTTTGGTTTGGTTTGGTTTGGTTTGGTTTGGTTTAGTGGTTTGGCTTGGATTCAGCTTCCGTCTAATTGGTGGTTTGGAGCCCGGTGGTTAGGTATTCTGGGGGGTGGTTTCCCATTCACCCTCCACAAAGGCCAGGGGCCCGTTCAAATCCAAACCGCCAACCCACCAACTAAGAACCTGAGAGATGGTTTGTGGCAAAACTTGCATGATGTACCCCTTTTTGGCTTGGTGTTAAAGGAGAAACCACCCATTGTAGGGGGTACCTCAAAAAAAGAAAAACCTGCCTGGTCCTTGAGGGGAAATGGGAAAATGCCTAGCCTCCAAACTACCAAGCCAAACCACGCGATCCTACTCTTACCTGTGATTTCATTTATCTGAGAAGGTAAGCAAGGGAAACCATGTAAAACGTAGACGAAATATCATTGCCTACTGTAGGGGTAACTGGAGTTATCGGGCTTAGTTGGTGGTTGGATTCATGACTTCGAGATTTGAACCCTTGGTTCTTGAGGGAAAATGGCAAACCACCCCTAGCCACCTCCGAACTACCAATCCAAACCACCGATTCCGCTAGAAAGCTACATCCCAAAACGGCCATCTTGTTACAAGGATTCGCATGATCTACTACTTGGGCGATTTGTTTGCTGGCCCAAACGTATCCTTTAAAAGAATAGAAAGTAACATTATTTACGTCAGCTACAAGTACATATCGAATTTTAGTTGGTTCAAAAGCAACATTATTCAAGGGACCCTTGAAAAAATGTTGCTAATCATGTTGACTTTGGCTTCATCCGGAGGACATGACTCAGAGGAAGCCCCTCACTGGATGGTCAACTCAGTTTTATCTGCGCTCTGGGCTTGAAAGACATTCCAGTGACTTGTGAACCTTTTTTGCAACCAAACATCGTCCATGTCCTGACATGGAAAAATCGAGAACATGTCCGTCAAACCAAGTGAAGAACTTCCGTGTCCACGTTCAAGTCCAGCCAACTGCGCTCTGCAGTCCTTCCAACTCCCGCAAGCACTCCCAGAAAGAAACCCGGGGCACATGAAAGGCTCTGCCAATGGTTCAGCCCGGTGCCGCAAAGCCAAAGAAGCGCCTTGTCGCCCGACCCCCCCTCCCCCCCCCCCCCCGGTTGGTCGGTTTGTACAGAGATGTTGAATTCGATGTGCTGGTGCATCTGTATGACTGGGCGAGTTGCCCCCTTTTAGGCGGGTTTCACCGCCGGAAGCCGACACGAAGCCCACTGCAACAAGCACACAACGAGCATCAGCGTGGTTGACGTTGGAAGGGGAGCAAAATTTACCAACAACAACAAAAAAGTTGGCATTTCAACCACTAAACCGCAATAAGCAAAAATGTAAAATGCTGCCCAACAACAAGCATGTAACCAGCACGCACCTGCATCTCTCTCAATTTCCGGCGTCTTCAAGACACAGGCGACGAATGAGCGAGCCATGCTCGCTCCCCCGACCCAAAACCAGGCGGACGGATCGTCTTTTTTGGAGTCGGCGCCGCCTTTGGGTTGGTTTTTGAAAGGGCGGCCGCAAGGAAAACCATCATGTTGGGCCCCCTAACACAGAGACGCGCCCATGTAAAGAGCTACAAGGGCGGGGCTCCGCACCCATTCAAATCGCGGAATCACTGACCCAGGTGGCCATGGGTCAAAAGGTCGGTTACTCCCCAGTGAACATCCCAATCCAACCACTAAAATAGGTTCTGAAATGAGTGGTGAATTCACCTACCCCAAAATGGTACCAGTGGTTTTGACCGACAGCGCCGCACATGGGTTCCCAACCAGCTTCTCTTACAACTTGCTATAGGATTAAAGCCTTCATATGGCAGAATATTTCTTGGGGGAGTAATAGCCTTTTCTGGTTCTTTAGATCACGTAGGCATTGCAACATCTGATCCCAAACGCCGCTTGCTTCCGCCAACTCCGTGCCACGTCGCCCAAGCCGCCGCGGGCATCACGGTGACCTCGAGAGGTGTCGTTTTTGTGTCCGCAGCCACCGGAGATGTGCGCCCGCGAAACGTGAATTTGGGGCGCGGCACCATGCGTTTTAGGACCCCCCAAGATGTGGGTAAATCTGTTGGCTGGAAAAGCAGGAGCCCCCTGGGGTGCAGCATTTTTTAGGATTCGGACCCCCCAAGATGTGGGTAAATCTGTTGGCTGGAAAAGCAGGAGTACCCTGGGGTGCGGCATTTTTTAGGATTCGGACCCCCCAAGATGTGGGTAAATCTGTTGGCTGGAAAAGCAGGAGTACCCTGGGGTGCGGCATTTTTTAGGATTCGGACCCCCCAAGATGTGGGTAAATCTGTTGGCTGGAAAAGCAGGAGTACCCTGGGGTGCGGCATTTTTTAGGATTCGGACCCCCCAAGATGTGGGCATTTCAATGTTGGCTTCCCTTTGAAGCCAGAAAAGAAGAGTACCCTGAAAACAAGACACGGCCATGTGCATGGCAGCACATGACACCCAAAAAAATAATCTAGCAGAGAGGGAATTTCGGAACCTGGGTACCCAGCAGAAGCGAGGGCTGCATTCAGACCCGAAAGAGGGGGCGGCTTTGTGGAAAAGACCCAAAGGAGCACCCCCTTCACCTCTTGAATGAGAGGGAGTGCCCTGAACCAGTCTGACCAAAAGGTGACAAATCAGCCCAGTAGCCCACTTGCATGTTCAACGTCAGGCAAGCAGGCTATAACTATGGTAAGGGGACCAACCCCAGTTGCCCTAGAAATCATGGTTCTAGCCTACTCACCTGACGTTGGTTGAACATCCAAGTACCACTGAACGGCTGGGTGACACTAAACAATGCCCGAGGAGTGGCCAAAGGCCCTTCTCCCCCAATCCATTCTTTTGCTGAAAAAAAACGAGGATTCTGTCTCTGTTCACATGTAATGGTCTTAGAGAGGCTTAGTACCGCTTCGGTGAATTCCTGGTAATCAGTCTTGGAAGACTGGCATCATCTTGCACAAGAGTGGCCCCTCCGAGTCAGCATCCTTGAGTTCTAATCATGCTGAAATCACCCTTTCGCCATCCTCGCCGTCAACTACATTCGCCCAAAACAAAGAGTTCCTGCTTGGTGAAAGAAAGCAAGAGGCGTTTTGGTCGGAGAAGGGAAGATTTCAAATTGGAACCCAAGTGGAAAAGGTGATGTTTGTTAAGTTCGCACAACTGACATCTTTCTTGGCAGCCCTGGATACAAACCGTTTGCCGAACATGGGACCCCCGGCCGGAATCGCGCCAGAGCTCTGCTCCTACGGAGCTTTTGGGTGAGTGGGGAGAGTGAAAATTTGGGGGGCCAATATCGGGCACGCCACAAATACGTCTCCCTTTGAGGGTCTCTTCTATTTCCCTTGAAAAGGGAACCTCCAAATAGTGGCAGGTTCAATGAAAACCACCAGTAAATTGCAACGTTTGATTTGAGGAAATCCAGGCGACCCCTCTTTGGTGCCTCCTTATCCTCTTTCAACACAGAAGGGTGGCTCAAATGCTGGGGCAAACTGATTTTTTGTCCATCAGCACGTGCCATGGTGTAAACTCCTTACATGGGCCGATTGGGTCATGACTCCCTTAATAGGAAAACACTAAAGTTGTTCTTGAGCCTCCCTACCAGGAGAATGGTAAAAACTATGCGGCCAATGGAGATGGCTCTCTTGATGAAAAAAATACTATGGTTCAGGATCCTCCCTGCCATGTGGAGAACCATCCCTGAGTCCATGCAAAGGAACCGGTCTTTCGACCGGTCCGGCACACATGAAAAAGCTACGGTACACCCAGGGGCACCAACCTTTGAAATGGGAAGGTTCACGATTGGCGTTGTTTTGGTTTCCCGAAAAGACTGGGCTTTCAAAAACACACCCACACACACTGTATTTGCTCCCCGAAGAGAGTAGGATAGCTGCTCATGTTCTGTCATGTTTTCTCTCAAGTCTGCCTTCTTGGGCAAAAACATCAAATCGAACAACACACACACACACACGGAGACACAAAGAAATGGAATCCCCGGATTAATAAACCCCTGCTTGATTAATAGGGGGGTGTCCGAGGATTCATCACTGTTGGAAAAGACACCCCCCTAATAATGCGGGACGGATGTATTAATGGGTCAACATTACCCCCCTGTCCACTACCATGAAACCTACTAGAGGCTCTCTTTTCGAGAACGCGCTCCCGGATTCCCGCCAGGCTCCCGCAACAACGTGGATGGGAGTCTCTCTCGCTGCAGATTCCCCCGAAACCAGCGGGACGAGCCGAACTGACCAAACTCGACTCCACCGCTTCAAGGAGCACTGTACTTAGTGAGTGGGTGATAGCCATGGCTACAACCCACAAAATTCATGGCTATAAGTCTTTCGAACCACTTACTACAAGTAAGTGCCTGATCACCCCTCCAAGCGCAGCCCAAAGCGCCTCCATCGGCGTTTTGCGAATTCCTGAGGCAAGTCGAAGGGATCGCAGCCCCCATGATGCATCTCTCAGAAGGCTTCAAGGCAGTCCAGTGCTCCATATCCATACTGTGGATGGACGAAATCCTGCACCAGATTGAAACCCTGGGAAACCATTGTTGGTTGGTATTTACAGGGGAATCATGATTCCAGGGTTTCTTAGGTGGTGCAGGATTTTGTCTATTGACACTATTTGCTGTCACTCCGCCAAATACCAAGCGGAAACTCAGAGTTTCAAAAGATAGGCAACCCTGCCGTACCAAGGTGCTACTAAGGGCTTACAAGTTTCAGCAAGCACTGGACCAACCCCTCAACATGCTCACTGTCAGGGACCTGGTCACGAGCAAACGTCCTTGAACGATGCAAAATGTGTGTGTCAGGTGAATGTCCTGGCACCTGACCTCCACGCATGCAACCGGCGACCAGGGGAAACCACGTCTACCTAAAGCCAGCGCATCCCAAGGCAAGCCCTTGTAGTGGGTAACCCGTCGCTACCTTCCTAGCGGTTTTTAGAGGGGATTGTTCCCTTGGCTGCCCACTGTACAGGAAAGTGGATCCACCGGGAGCTCGCAGCAGCTTCAGAGTTGGAACTCCTGATGTCAGGGGTTGGCGAGCATCAAATCCCCATATACATGTGGGTGTGGGTCAAAATTAAACCACCAGGGGACTGGTTCCACTTACCAAGCTTATAATTTGCGTACCCATTTTTGACCCACAGCCATGTAGTAGGAGTCATACCCATCCTTCCCCTCAAAAGGCTACAAAGATTGTCTCAAAGCGAAAGGGAACAATCAAGCCAACCTGCGCCTAGCTTCAATTTTCAACGGGAGAAGCAGCCAGAGACCGGGTCTCCGGACAATTCCGTCCCCGTTCAAAACCAATTCCACAAAGGAAACAAGTTAATAACTTAAGCCTTCAAAGGGGACAACAAAATCCCGGAGGCTGGGCTTAAGCCCGCCATGTCAAACTCTTGCCTTTTGGCCAAAAAAATCCGACTGTTTAGGGCTCGTTTGGGCGAACAGGGACTTCCTCAGACCTTGCCCTGGACAAATGGGGGCTCTTTGGTATCTTGCTTTGGTATCTCGCTTGGGCCTGTTGGGGTCCATGTTTCGGCGCAGCCAGCTTTTTAAACAAGACCCCAGCAATAAGAGCCGCGTTGGGGATCCTCGATTTTGGACAGTGCAACGCCCGAGCCTGAAGATTGGACGCAGAAACGGCAGCCCTTCACTTGAGCCGCGGTCGGCATTCGAAGCATCGGCGTCTCGATCGATTCGTCCCTTCGGATGGCCAAGTACTCAAATCCAAATTCACATCGAGCCCCTGTTTGTCTCCCAAAAGGAGATTCCTCATACAAACGGGTAGGGTTCCGTCCGTTTATCTGTGGGTTACTGCATCATAAACCGGAAAAAGGATTCCCTCGACGTCAACGGATTTGTGAAACGTGGAGAGGGAGCAACACTGCGCGCCTGTTTGGGCAGGATTGGGCGCCGGGTAGCTGAGAGCCCCGAAACGGGTTCCTTGGACGCCCACCCCACCCCACCCGAAAGGGATTCCATAAACTGTCGGGTCAAATGGACACGGATCGCCCACTACGTCCTTGCAGAATATCTCTCACTCATCCAAAGACAACAGGAGCCTGGAAGGAGACGTCGACATGTCCAAAGGGAAACCAAAAGAAAGCCAATCGCCCGAACTTCTTTGAACTGTGGAGGCTCCCTAAGTTCAACCCGTTGTATGATTATTATTATCGTTGTTATTAGTAGTACTATTATGTTTATCGTTATTTCAATTATATTCTTGTCATTATCATTATTATGATTAATAGTATTAATGTTATTATGTCTAGTGGTATTCTTAATAGTGGTGCTATTATTATTGTTGTTATTATTATTATTAACACTATTATTGATACTGTCACATTATCATTAGGTCATTATTAATACTACTATGATTAATTGTCTTATCACTACTATTATTATGCTTTTATATTATTACTATCATTATCATTATTGTTATTATCATCATTATCATGTTTATTACTATTGTCATATTTATTACCATTATCATTAGTATTTATATTATGATTACCATCATTGTCATTATCCTTATACGTTTTAGTATCATCATTATCAGTTAGTTTTACTATCATTATCATTATCATTAGTATTATCATCATTATCATGTTTAGTATTAGTATCATTATCATCATTACTATGACTATCATTCTTATTAGTATTATTATTACCATCCTTGTCATTATCCTTATTACTAGTGTTGTTATTACTATTATTATTACTATTCTTATTATTATTGTTATCATTATCATTATCAGTGTTATGATTGTCATTATCAGTATCATTAATATTGTTATTACTATTTAGGGGGGGTCTTCATTTGTTTTGAGAAGGCGGAGGGAATGGCGAGGGTGGTGCCAAGCCCTCTGTTTGAACATGCATTTAAAAAAAGGTGTCCTTGTTGAAGTGGGTCAAAGAGGGCCGGCGCCTGACTGTTTTGACGGATTGAGAAAAATATCACGTCGACGGATGACTCAACCCGGTGCGGTGCTTCTCCACAAAGTGAAGGATCCCCTTTGAAAATAAAACACCTCCAATCAAGATCAAAGGGTCTTATGAATAAACGTGATTCCTGTCATGGGTTGATTGGGCATCGTACCACCCCCAATTCTTCCTATTAAGCAACCTCTTCATCAACCAGAAGTCTATCAATCAAATCCGGGTTCCCATTAAAACCAAAAAGGCCTCTCACCAAAAACACCAGACACCACCCACTTTGCTAGAGCCACCGGCGCGGGTTGCGGCGGCAGGGCGGGACTTTTTGCTCCTTGCCCGTCCGTCGCTTCGGATCCTTCCGCTCGCCTGCGCCAGAGCCAGGCACCTCAAAAGGGCCGGAGGTTTGACACGGAGATAGACCCAGGAGTGACGGAGATAGAGTAATATCAGCTTCCCTCAAGTTAGTAGTTTGGAAATTGCTGGATTGGTGGTTAAGGAGGGGTTTCCGATCTACCGTGCGCAAATGCCAGGAGCTCAGATCCCCAAACCATCAACTAAGGTTTCCGGATGATACTGTGGATTGTTGAAATCGAAATCCAGAATTCGCACCACGGAGGATGAAACCATGGAGTTGAAACCATAACGTTGGTTGTTACAGGGAAACGTTGGTATCAATCCATCCACACTATAAGTGATGGTCCATTCGGGTTCCTTGAAAGCCGTCCAAGAACGGGTACCAACTCAAAAAACACTCTTCCACGAAATTCCCATCGGTCTCAAAGAGTCCAAGCTGTGACTTTCATCTCATTGCTGATGGGAGAAGACGAAATCTAAGCTGCTGGAACCCAATGTGCCCATGATTGTCAAGCCCAAAGTGAGACGCGTCGATTGTGGAATCCTTTTGCTGGGTTTCTACAATGTGCCCTGGACAAACATTGGACATCTTTATGATGGTCGGAAAGAAAGTGCCTGTTTAAACATGGGACCTCGATTGGAGACCAAAGATCGAAAGAAAGGGCCCCAGCCTGATCTCCGGTCAATGCACACATGTTGAATGGTACCCAGAATCAAAACATGTTTGGGACAAGAAAAACAAAAATAGCAACGACATCTAATGGGGCAAAGACAAATCTACTGATGTTGGAAAATCGCATCCCACATGTTGGGCAGACAAAATGCCCATGATTCGCTCATGCGCCTGTTCTCCTTGGACCTTTACTCCCCAGATTCGTGGAACCCCATCGACTCCACCCTTTGGAGAAACCCCTCTTTGTGAGGCCCCTTTCTTGGAGGGTACTATGACGGGTTCCGAACCCAGATCAATTCGTGGTCCCAAGTCCTCCGGCCACATGTCGCTGCATGCTTGGCACTCCGTCTCGAGCCGCAAAGGCCGTGTCGTGTTGGTCCCTAACCTCCAGAGGGCTGGCAAAGTAACGTTTTTGGCTACTTAGCCGGCGGGGTGACAGGACACACCGAAAAAGTTGAAAAAAGTGTCCTGTAAGGGGCCCCGTTGAACCAAGCTCCCTTTGGGTTCCCTCCCGCCAACCGACGCTCGCGGCCTGTTCGCTCGCTCTCGGGGTCTCCCGCCTGCTGAATCGCCGGTCGGCGCGTGAGGCGCAGGAGCAAGCACCTCAGTTAAGTCGAGAGGTTCTTCCAGGCTGCCTGGAAAAGGGGGGGGGAAGGAGCCTGGCCATGGGTCAAAATCCAAATCGGTTAGCCCCCAGTGAACGGGACCCAATCCAACCACTAAAATAGGTTCTAAAATGGGTGGTGAATTCACCTACCAACCAAAATGGTACCATTGGCTTTGATGGGTATGAATCTGAATCAGGGACCCGATTTGGTGCACATCATTTGGGGAATGTATGTCCGCCAACCGCTTTTCAATTAAAATTCGTAGCCATATGGGAAATCCCTCGCCCTCTCCCTCCCAACAAAAAGATGAGAAAAGGGGGCACCACTGGAGGTCTGGGTAGAAAAAGGTGTGGGGACCGCTTGGTGGATGTCAAAAAGAGAATCGGTCCCTTCCCTAAATTGTGGCTTTTCGGCGTCTGGGCGGTGTTCCTCTTTTTGTAGCAAACCGGGGTCCACGTTGAAGAACCACCTTGCTCTTGGTCCGGGCCGCATCATGATCTCCAACCTTCCACTTAGAGCAAGTGGATAAGAACCATGCTTATAACCCACAAAAGCCGAGTGTTGGTTTGTCCCCTAAGCGTGCTATAACTTATCCACTTTCCTGATGTTCCGAATCGATCGCCCCTTCAGGATACCCCGTTGTCCTTTTGAGGTCAGTTTGGATAGAAAGAGATGGATTCTTGTTGAGATGGGGTTTCACAACCCATTTGGCAGAGAAATCCTGCCGTTTTCCGGAAGGACACCATCTCCAAACCTTCCAGGTGCTCCAACCAGTCAAACGACCCGACAGCTTCACAGGTTTCCTGGAGAAACGGCGGCCTGGCGTCACGGCGACCGCCTGGTTGGGTCGCTTGGTTGCTGGGTTTGCCTGGCTTGCTGTCTGGTTTTCTGGCTGGCTGGCCGCTTGGTTGGTTTGCCTGGTTGCCTGGTTGGTTGATCCAAAGTTCAAAGCTCATACTGGACACTCCTTGAAACCTGTGGATAAAACTCCTTTTCAAACCAAAAGGTTCCCTTTTGAGCCTGGGGAACTGATTCTATCATTCACAAACCAGAAAGGAATCCCACATCTTGACGCAACCTATGATGGTTTGAATTTCAAGGATGACCATGGATGGGAGGCAAGTAGATAGCTAGCTCGGGCCAAGGAAAATCATCAAAAATGCCATCCGACCTTGCCATGCAGTGCACTTAGCGCACTTAGACATTGCAAAGCAGAGTTCGATAACTCGATTTACCCCAAAAGTCTTTGAGCTGCCGATCTCCCGCAGCCCGGCATCGACGCTCGCCGCTTAGGTGTCCGAAACCACGGGAACATGCGTTCGGCTTGCCACCATGGAACTGCACCATGCTCTTGATCGAAAAAATGTCGGCCATGAGCTTGAACAAAAATGAGCCTGTCGTTTTGGAACAATAGATGGGTTTCCCTGGTAAATGGTTTACACAGCCCATCGCAGCCGATGGAACCCACCTATTTCTAGCCAAACCAACCAGGGTACGTCAAGTAAGTGGCTAGAAAGGGCTGATTATACCCTGGACGGAGACAAAAATCACCATGGCTTTTGTGGGTTGTCTCACCACCCACTTCCCTCATGTGCAATACCCTAAGGGCTTCATCCACGAACAACGTCGCCTGCTAGCTGCTGAGGCAGGCGCTCCAACTCCTGCGCCGCCTCTAGGCCTTGCAAGCCTGCGAGTGCCCATCTGGGTGCCTCGTCTTTGAACGTTGGTACCCACGTTGGAGTGCCTTTTGAAATGGAAACCCAAGAAGAAAAGAGCGAAAACAGCTTCGGTTCTTGTTTTTGTGTCCCCAAGCACAAGACACACCCATGAAGGCGTTTCTCAAATAGAAATCGGTCCATTCCCTAAATGTGTGTTTGTTTCCTTTTGGTTCCCCCAAGTATAATACCAGCCAAAGCTGCATGCTGTGACACTCTGTCCCATAATCCAGGATCTGGAGTTTGTGGGGTCTTCTGAACTCCCCCCCCCTTTCCCAAGAAAACGCCTTGGAGTTGACGGGTCGACCCACGCCAGAGTTGACCCTTCAGGGATTCGCCGTCGCGCCGAAGCGGCCACCGCCCACGTTCCGTCGCCTCGCCTTCGAAGGAGAGCTCTTGCACCTCGAAGGCCTCCGCAGCCTCCGACGAAAAACAAGCAAACTCAGAAACCGGACAGCTGGCCTGGCCTTGCCTTGCCTTGCCTTGCCTTGCCTTGCCTTGCCTTGCCTTGATTGATTGATTGATTGATTGATTGGTTGGTTGGTTGGTTGGTTGGTTGGTTGGTTGGTTGGTTGGTTGGTTGGCTGGCTGGGAACCTGCGAGTTTGGCGAAACTTCAGGTTCCGCACCGTTCGTAAGCCTTTTTTCTAGTGAGAGCTGTACAGTATCCAAGATACCCGGGAGCGCCGCAGATTTTTTTACGTTCGAGGCTCTACTGAAGCCGCGAAGAAAGCCCTCCCCCCACAAGGGAGAAAACCAAAAAAAAAAAACAGAACATCCAAACAGAAAGACTCTTCCCGGAACCCCCACTCAGGAACTCCATGTTAGCGCAAATGCCTGTGGAAGTGGGCATGTTGATAGGTCAGAGGGTCTTCCAAGCCACTTCAACAAGCCGTGTCGGCAGAGTGAAACACACACCACACACCCATGGACTCCATCGGGCAGTCACACTCTCAACCTTACCCTTTGCCACCCGCAAGAAAGAAAAAACTAAGACAGAGCCCTCAACATTGCCCTTTGCTGCGCCCACCCGCAAGAAAGAAAGAAAAATCCACCCAAAACAGAGCCCCAAAAAGTTCGCTTTGACCGCGCTACTGGCTTGGCAAGCAGTGTCCCGGTGCCTTCTGCATGAGCAGCGCATGCGCATCCGGGTCGCGCCTGGCGAGACGCAAAGAAACGAGACGTGCAAGACAAGTCTCTCGTATCAACAAAACCGGAAGCTCGGAAGGCGTTAGCTTTGTCTCAAAACCTGGGCTGCCTGTTTTCAGATCCCCCTCAGATCCCCCTAAAACCCTAATCCCCCAAGCCCGGCAATAGGAAAACGAGCCCCAAGCATGGGAGGACCCATAGGACATGCTGGGCTGCCCGCTTTCTGATCCCCCGCGAAAAGTGACTAACTTTTAGTTGGTTAAATTCGGAAGCTACCACTAAACACTAAAAAGCTAAAAAGCTGAAGGGGATGACTGGGAACCAGCAAGAAAGGGGGATGGGACTTCCAAATGGTTTGTCTGTAGATGTCAGCAGTTGTCTTCATATTGGTTTTTCCCAACTCTCTCGCTCTCTCCCTAACTCTCTCTCTCTCTCTCTCTTTCTCTCTCCTTTCAAGCGATTACGCACATGTCATCGGCTCTTGGTTCCCTTCGACTTTCTCTTTCCAAGTCGTTTCACCGATTCATCCGGACACAACGAGGAATCCGGGGCCCCTAAAAGGCAAACTTCCAATTTCGCAGCCTAGGTTCCCGCCCAGCCCCAGTGTGTGGGTGGCTTCAACGTGCAGCAATTGGAAGTTCCGGTCTTTTTCGGCAACCGTCCGTCCGTTGTTCTAGCGAGTGCGGCCAACCAGACCTCCATGAGAGCTTAGGCTTCGGAACCAGTCAAGTCCCATTTACTGGAATCATGGTCATGGCTCTGGTTCTGTTTCCGGGGCCCAAAGTCAGAAATCTGGAATCGGTGGGGCCTGACTTGGCGAACGCATGGCGCCGAGCAAATTCCAAGAACGCCAAACTTCGCGCGGGGTCCCAGCGGCTCCCTCCGAACGGCCCCCAGATCTGGATATCACTTGGGAGAAATCGGAAGCACCCCACTCCAGCAGGGATTCTTACATTATACACCGGAACATGGCCTTGTAAATGGTGGCTTCCCTTTAGTTTGGTGTTGAAAAAGCCAGATTTCAAGTGGTTGCAAAGTGTATCTTTTAAGGAGCCCTGTCCAGGAACCTGAAAAAATCCGGGCTCGACCTCGCATTCCCCCTGGCCGCCTCAGCCCGCCCGCCTCTGCAGACACAACCAGCAGGTGCCAGAGTCCTGCACGCGACGATCCAGGCCGTCGGAGATTTCGGTGTAGGTCACCAGGCTTGGGGGTCCACTTTTGACACACTGGCTGGAAGATGCCCTTGTCATCAACCCAAATCTCTTGGTATGGGCTGGCGAAAAACTGACTGTTTTTTGCAGACCCCCAGTAAAAATGAACAGAACCAAAAAACTAATTTAAAAAAAATGATCCAAGAACGGTGAAGTCATGGATGGGCACATCTCAGGCAAGGATTTATGGAAGCCGATCAGGTCCTTGCTGGAGCTTATATACTGTTTATGCGGAATATGCTTCATCATTCCTATGGTCATCATCCGATGGTTGTCAAGCACCCCAAAATGCCCCCATAGCCCTTTTTTTGGGCCGAATAAGGTCTATTGGTGCCCACTCCATAGCTTATGGCGAGATGACGATGCAGGTCCCTTATTTGGGGATTCCTCATTTGGGTATGGGTCAAAATAAACCCACCAGGAATTGGACCGCAGGTTTTTAGTCTTTGGTTCCATTTATCAGGGTTCCATTTTGGGTATGCATTTTTGACCCACAGCCATTTCGGGTTTTGGGATTGGACAAGTCGATCCTGTCTGAGAGACTATGGACCCCAAAAGAATTGAGGCATAGCCTTCTAGGATTCTCACGTGATCCCAATCCTAAACCAAGAGTCAAGTGTAAAAGAATTCACAGGTGCATGGCTTTGCAGATGGGGATTCTTTGACCTCATCTGTTAATACTGCCTCACCAAACAAAAAAAAAAAGCTTGATACTGTGGACGGACAAAATCTGCTTCGCGCCAGTTGGGATGAATGAAACCATATGAAGTCTGGTTGATAAACCACCAATCCCAACTGGTGGTTTGCCGCGACCGGCGCAGATTTGGAGAGCAACATTCGCAGTGCGGTTTTTCCCTCAGCCACAACAAAAGGGCATGTCTCTTTGCAGGTCGGACCTCCTAAACAAACCTGATTCTCCTTTTGGTTTCCCGTTAAGAACCGGCACACCATGTTGGGTGACCACCAAAAAATGCAAATTCGGGCCTGCAGCAGGGCTCCGATGGTCTGCAGTAGCGGCCTGGCAGGAAAGAAGCTTCATAAAGATCATGACTTGCGTTTGTTGTCTCAGATGCCAAGTGGATTTCCATGGGGAAAAAAGAATTGGCATCCCTTATTGGTTGATTGAGTTTAAAGGGGAACCCTTCCCCAAAACAGGAGGGGAAAAAAAGGGCGCCACTGGGCAACTGGGTTATTGATCATTTGCATTATGCGCGTTGTACTGTGTCGGTAAGATTCCCATCTTTGTGTTGGTTGTACTGTTTGTGCTATTTGTATAACGTGTACTTTGGTTCTGTATCATGAAGGTGTGTCGGCATCCTGTCTTTTTACATGAACCAGGTCGCTGGTCTTGAATGTGTACTCATCTGGTAAAAGTTGTTTGAAACTTAAAGGAAAACCACCATTCTGTGGGCCCCCTAAAAGAGACACCCCCAAACTCCGGCGCTGATTCACGCCCAAGAGAATCCCAGCCTTTGGGTGGCTATCAGTCAAACAGCTCCAGGCGACATCCAAATCCTTCGGCAGTCTCAGCATTAAAGTGTGTCTTCTTTGGGACCCCCGAAAACAATGTGGTTTTCCTATTGGTGTCCCTTTAAACCACCCCCCATAAAGGCTTACCCTCAAAAAAGACACCTCCAGTTCCTCTTCAACTTCCAAACCGGATGCTGCCAGTCTTGGACACTTGTCGGCCTGGCAAACTAGCTTGTGCAGACTTGCTGTGACAAATCAGCAGGAAAGCGGCGCCAAACAATCCCCCAGTTTGCCACCTAACGCACTAATGACAAGTGTAACTCCACTTCGGGTGGGACTTACAAGCGGGTTGTAACTTGGGTTACCAACCACTTACAAGCTTGGCGAATCGAACATCCAAGTAGGATGAACTGGAGGCCCGTCGGAGCCTGGTGATGCGGGGGGATGCAGGGGTCTGCGCTTCGAAAAAGAAGCCACCCGTTTGGCCCGGTGAGTTTCTTTTTTGGTAGGGGTGATGGATTTAGGTTGGACCTCTAGGGAACCCTGCTACATGCCCACTTGGATGTTCGGCCAAGTCAGTCAGTGGTTCACGCCCTGGGTCATAACCCACCAACAAAAGCTTAACTCCACAGAACGGGGCACTTCTTTGCGCGGATTGTGACCTATGTTACGATCACAATCTACTAACTTTGCGGGCGCGAACGCCCAAGTAGAAAGAAGCACTCCATGAGAAACACAATCAAGGCTCCTTTAAACCCTGGCAACCAGATTTACCGGCTTTCCCGAACGCCAGGCCTTCTGAGTGAAGCTAGTAAAGCAGTCTACCCAAAGCCAGAAATGAAAAGGGTGAACATCCGCACGGGTTGGTTGGGTTCTGCCTTCGAAGATAAACTTCGACTTCATCCAGAGCGAAGACGATTTTCAGGGGGTTCCTGCCGACCTACGTTGCGGGGACCTACTTACAGGGGCAGGGTACTGAGCAAGTGGCTAGTAAGCCTGGTGAGATAACCCACTGAACGGAGAGTGACTTAGAACCATGGCTTTGGTGGGTTACGAAGCACTTACCACAACGCCCCCCTTAAGTAGGTATGAGACCCTTAGTCAGAAAAACTAGGCGGTCAGAAAGCTAGGCGGTCAGAAAAATTTGGGCGTCATGCCTTCAGGTCCTTCAAATTCGCCTCGGGGGTTCGCGGCAACACCACCTTCGATCCAACAAAAAAGAAATCAGGGCGGAAGAGCTCGACAAAGCGGAGAGCGAAGACCACGTCCGAGCCGACCACCAGATCAAAGGGGCCTGTCCACCGCCAGCGCAAAGCGGCCAAAAGCGAATCCGAGGTAAGGCGTTTGACCCATTTGGTGACTTGTTGAAGAGGCTTCAACAAATGGGTTCCGAAAATCGGATGCAAATGATTGTTGGCGCAAGGGATCGAACCCCAAGCAAAAGGTCGCCTGATCCATTTTCGGACCGACCCCCTTGACCACCTTTCTTGGCCTCGCTTTTGGACCTGCCCCATTTCCACCTGTTTGATTTGCTTCAACGGGCAATGACCTGATTCAACGGTTTTGGTCACTGGTTTGACCCTCTTGGTTCGGGCCATTGAGTAGCCTCACGTCCGAAAACGACTCATGGACACTTGGGGTGTGTCTTGGAATATGTTGGTTTCCTTTTGGCTTCCTTTCAAAACCACCCAAACAAGGGCACCCTTAAAAAAAAGGACACCAAAAAGGTGCCCGCCCAAAGGTTGCAAAAAACACTGACCCGTGCCCACGCTGGCTACTTAAAGGGGCATGGGTTGGGAAGCCTGGTGGGAACCCACTTAGAGACTTATAACCACGGCAAGTGTGTCAAAACCATGTTTGTTGCCCATTTACTACCCTGCAGTATGAACTTAGAGGAACCCTGGTGGAGATAACCTACAACCACCGGGGCAACACCCCCCCACCCACCCTTGAACCCCACACCCCACCCACCCCCTGACACCCCCCACCCCACCCCAATCGCCACCCTGTCCGGGACCCGGCGTGAAAAAACAGCTTGAGTCACAATCAACACCTTTACATGCAGGGTCAGAAGGCTTGGCTACATGCGCCGCAACAAAAACTTCAACGACAAAGTGATCGCGCGCTTGCCAAAGGCCCGACCCTGTTTAAAAGCGCTTGCCTAGCGCTTGCCAATCTCAAATTCCCACAGGAAGACGCGCCGCCATTCGGCTGAAACGCGCGAGCGTCGCGCCTGCAGCACGGGATGGCGCATCGTGCCGGCGCAGTGTTGGATCACGTCAGTTACCAGCGTTGCAGAGCAGGGGCCTCCGAACTATCTGGAGGACGTTTCCCCTTAAAAGAAAAATCGGACCAGGTGCATATCCAAGAGTCCTGCCAGTCCCACCGCTGCCAAGCCGTCTGCACGCTGGAGGGGGAGGCGCCACCACAGTCCTTGGGCCACGTCTCCATCTCTTCCACCTCATCCTCCAGCCAAGGCGGCCTTGGGCCACGTCTCCATCTCTTCCGCCTCATCCTCCAGCCAAGGCGGCCGTCCATCGCACACCACCCACCTCCACCGTCGCAAGGTTCTGCTCTCGCAGACGGGCCTCAAAGATACCGAAGTTGGCGCGCTGCATAAGGAAAAAGCCAATCTGAGCCCGCGTTCTGCGTTTTGGCTGGGCAGCATCTTTCTTCACCTGAGCGCCGTGCACGCAAAGCGCGCGAAGAGCAACCCCTCGAGCAAAAGCCCAAGACCCTGCGTCGTGCCTCCTTCGCCTTGCCGCTTTCGCTGTCCACACCCCACACCCCACACACCCCACACCCCACCGACCCCCACCCCACCCCCCACCCACACCCACCTCCACCCCGCCCCCCCCCCCCCACCCCCACAGCCCTTATTTAAGATGAGTCTTATTAACAAGACTAAAGAAACAAATAAGAAGAAAGTGAAAGAACATGAAAATAATATGGTAAAATAATATTGAATATAGAAATATTTTGGGGGGGAGCCCAACCAACCCCCCACCCCACCCCACCCACCCCAACCAACCCCCACCCCCACCCCAACCACCTCCACCCACCCCACCCCCACCCCCACCCGCACCCCACCCCGCCCCACCCCCACCCGCCCCCACCCCCACCCACCCACCCCCATTACCAACAACCACCTCCCACCTCCCCAAGTCGTGCCTTGTCGCCTGACGGCTTCCATGTGCTCAACATCCCCCCAGCTCAGCACCTGCACCTCGCAATCTGCTCGGCTCCAGCCATCGCCACGGGAGGCTGGGGGAGTAAGCATCAGTGGGGAGGGTTGGGTGGGATGGTGGTTGGGTTGGGGTGGGGGTGGGGGTTGGTTGGGGTGGGTGGGGGTGGTTCGGTTGGGGAGGGTGGGGAGGGAGGCTGGTGACGTCGTAGGTCTTGGGAAACAAGTTGTTGACTTCCCCCGAGGCTCTCCCTTCAAGGAGGAAACTCCTCTTTTTAAGGAGTATTGTGTGACAGCAATCCCATTTTCCATCTAGTTTCGTTACGGTGGCTTTTGGAGCCGAATGCTTTGGTGGTTAAGGGCTGGGCCCCCATGTCGCCGCTGCAAGTTCAAATCCCCAAACCAATCCAAACCACCAACTAAGGGTTACCTGAAAGTAAACCAACTCGGAAAAACAAAAGCGGGAAAGGGTGCGGCGAATTGGATCAGAGGACCCGAATGTTCCCCTTGCAATATTCGCTGGCATCCACCGCACTTTGGGGTGCAGGCCTTGCAACCTGGTTTATCAAGGCCAGAAAGGAACCGACCGAGGAGCCAGGTGTATCAGAAGGATGACTGGCTTGATTTCAGGTGACGGCCCGAAGCACATGGGACATGATACAAAGATGCGCCACCCAAACATGTGTCAGAAAGAAGAAAACATAATTGCGTCTGACCCCCGACATGAACTCCGGATTCAGGTGAAGTTGATTGGTTGTTTGCTTTTGGGTTTTTGGGCTCCCCCCGAAGAAAAAGAAAAGAAAAGCTTCGTCGCTTTCTTCAGGCCACAAAAGGGGTAGCTCCAGAGAAAGCCACCCGCCCGTCATCCCCAAAATTGCGCCTCCGCACCGGATCCCTGGCGCTCGCGAAGGGAGTTGGGAGTCTTCTGACAGCATGGGAGTCTTTTAGAGGGGACTCCCAAAATAGTGGTGTTCTTTTTGGGTTCCCTTTGAAGCTACAAAAAAGGGGTACCCTCATATTATTGGGCCGGTCCCATCAACGTCTGTAGCGCCTCAGAGTTTCTCAAAATGGTGGACACCCTTGTGCTTGGTATTGTACGCAAAACCAAAAGGATACCAACCATAGAACAACCAAATCCAATTTCGAGAAGCACCCAGCTACGAACGTGTGTGTGTGTGTGTGTGCCCGTTTTTAAGGTTGGTTGCAAGGGTAATCACAAGGACCACCAAGAGTTTTGGTGGCCCGCTACTTTGACACATGCCCACTGAGAGTTGATTTTATGCGTGGCGCCGGTGCTGCCCAAACTCGGCCGGTGGCGCAATCTGCGTTCAAAGGCGATCCGCGTCCTCATGCCAGTCTAAAAAACTGCTAGGCCTCGCCAAAGAGACATCAAAAACAATGTCAACCACAAAGAATAACTCGTATTTGAAGGGGTGTCCCACCACCGAAAGTACATCTCTCAGAACTCAACTTGCTGGTTCGCAGCAGGGAATGAGTTGCAATGACCCCGAAATAAACCATCCCCGTGTTGGTTTCCTTTTTTCGGGAATCCCCAAAACTGGTTCATTCCCAAAACCCGGACTCGGAAGCTCATTCCCTACTCAGCACCAAGGAAAGGACATCTCTCACAAAACTCGAAGTGCGGGTCAACACAACATGTGTGTCACTCCGGGCAGACTTGTTTGTGTGTGTGTGTGTTCGATATGGCCATGGGTCAAAACCGCGTACCCCCAAAAATGGGATCCCATTGGTTTGACAACCACTGCCATATCCAGATTTATGCTTCTGAGATCAAAGAATGCCAAGCAGACAGCGGAGTAGCGGTTTTTTGGGCACCAGGAAACCAGGCGCCTCAGCATTGTGCCGCAAGTTCGGCAGGGCCAACGGCTGGTCCGTGAGGACCACCTAACCAGCGGCAACCAGAGCGTTGCCCGCTGAACGTTCACCAGAGTCACCCCATCATCATGGGTATGTGTCAAAATAGGGAGCCGGGTGACTTCGATGCTCCTTTCACCTGACCCCCACCCCCAAAAAAAAAAAAAGCGGGCACCCTCCAAAAGACTCACCCCGGGCATGTGCTTTGAAAATTGGGGACCCTCTGGTGGACTATCATTTGCTCAGTTGCACAGAGGATCTGGAAATCACAGGGGTGGACCCTTAACGAAGTTTGGCCAGATCAGGGAAGCCAAAGGTTAAAAGGTCGATTCGCTTTGGGCTTTGATGACTTACAGGCAGATGGCACATCATTCCCCCCTTGCGCTGGCTGGGCCGTACCCCTTACGTTTGCCCACATCAAGTGGTTCGCGCCATCGACTTTCCCCCTGGCGTAGCCCCAGCATAATGTTGACCCCCTATTGGTCAACCCCATTTTTTTGAAAAAAAGGGGTGCTGCTAAAAAGAAGGCTTTTTGCCACCAACCATCTCTGAGGTGTTACTCTGAAACAATCAGACTCATCTTGCAGGTTGGCTTCGTTTTCAACCAAGAATCCAAGGCTCGGCAAAAGAACAACAACCCATGTTGGACCTAAAAAAGGACACGCCCATTTGCTGTTACCCTTCTCACGTGAAATTCCGAGGGCCCCCCACGTACGACCCCATTGCTTTAGAACAAAACCTGTTGGGTTTGCAAGACTTCGTTCACATGTTCAGATTCTGTTTCATATTTAAGATAATTCGCCTGCCCTAAAATGTGCAGTCGTTTTGAGGGTGATCCCAGTTATATAAGGGTCACTCAACTAGCTTGACTCGCATGCTCATCAATTTGGTAGCAGGTGAGTGACTCTTTAGAAACAAACTCGGAAAATGAATTCGTTTTCCAGAACAAGTTCGTTTGTGCACATGTGACGGTGTGTCTGTGTTTGTGAAGACCAGGAACAAGTTTGCCCATCCCCCATTTGAACGTGTCCATTCCTGATGTTGACACGTTCTCAAATGGCACCGTCGTTCCTCTTCGGCAATCAGGTTTGATCAGAAATTCCCTCGGACCCAACTATGTCTTGTACGCAGGACGAGGACCCCCCAAAAAAAGAGGTAGGGGGCGTGGGTGGGGGGTAGGATGTTGAGGGGTTAGGTTAAGTAACTGTTCTTCAACATATTCACCATCTTGTTTGTTTTCATCATTCATGTTTCCATATTGGTGTCATGCTTGGGGTATTGGGTGAAAGAGTTAGACACTTGTAGTATTTCAGAATTTCAATGTTCTGCGGTGTTGGTGTTCTTCATATTCTTGTTTCAGCTTGAGGTTATGTTGATGAAGGCTAATTTCCTCATGTTGTGTTCGCTTACCTTTGTGATAATGCTGATTACAAATATCACATTAAATCAAGGTTTGAGAATATGTCTCTTGATATGTATTGTAGTATTCCTTGTTTTGTTCACAATAAACCTTTTTCCTTTCGTTGTAGTTCTTCTTTGTGTGCTTCCCTATGCCGACGGTTGCTTTCCAAGCATACAATATTGCTTTCTTCCGTTGTTAAGCCTTTCTAGCAATTAAAAGACTTTACATGTTGAACATTGCTTTCTGTCTGTCATTGTCTCTATATGTTTGAGGGGGTATGTCTTCAGCTATGGTTAAGGGGTGAGTTAGATTAAACGTTGATAATAATAATAACATATATACTGGTGTAAATACTATAGTAATCATATAATCATAGGCTAGGTTCAATCTACTTGATGGTCTTCTGTTTCTTCATATATAATGTGTATAATGATAGCTGTATTTGTCATTTCATTATTATATTAACCTGCTACATTCAAATATTTTACTTATTCAATAAATTATACTACATCTACCACTCTGTGATCAACTAACGTCCATGATACTTGTTATTGCATTGTATTTGCTCCCACTGAATTTCAGGACGTCATAGACGATGAGAAAAATTAACATATAGTCTTGAACATGTCTTTGAATCTTCAACGCGCATGTTATTGTATTCTGATAATATCTCCATATGTTGCAAGTCTTACATTCATCATCGTTACTCAAAAAAATTCAGTGACATGTTTTACTACACCAATTAGTACATTCATGGTGCATGATTCCATGTATTATTTTTTGGAATGGCCACAGTTGTAGCATGTCTTGCTCAAGCTTCTATTACTATATAAAGTGTCTTCTCTTTGCGTAGTTGTCGGCTGGGCGTTGCTTGTTGGAGAAAACAGGTCTCAGGTATTCAATCATTCGCATTGGTGAGAATCCTAATTCGTGGTCTTTGTTTAGTTTTCGTATTGCTCCTGCTAATAAATAATTATTGGTAATCATCGCTTGAAACTCGCCGTCTCTGTTTGACTTTCTATCACATTGGTGTAATTCTCTACTAATTGGGTTCTCATAGATGTCTCTTATGATGGCAAACCTAACCAAAGAATATGTTACTATTAGGCTTAAACAGCTATTGTCTCTGAACCTGTTCATTACATCTTGCCAAAACTCATCATCTTCAGTTGTGTAGGTAAGGGGTGGCTTGTCACGAAATCCCTCATAGCCCTGTTCTCTGCTTCAATCGCTTCTTGTTCATTGAATTATTCATCGCTAGTCTCATTATCCAACATCTTTTCAACTAAGCTCATGTTCTCCCGTAATGGTATAAGATGTTATGTATTTAAGTATATTTCGTTTTATGTTAAGGGGTGGGAGTTGTTATGTTGACAACATATGTGTCTATCAACTTAATATAACAGAGATTAACGAAAGACCAAATTTAGCAACATCTATTATGGTTTAAATGAGGGTGTCTGAAGCACCCAAGCGACACACAAGAAGGCAAAAGGGAAAGACCCTTCAATAACCATAGACGATGTAGAGTCTTATTCTAAAGACCCAGCCAAATCAACACATAAAGAACTACAGAGGCACGAGTTCCTACACAGTGCCGTTTGCACGATACGGCGCATGCCCATGTGTGTGTGTGTGTCAAACATGGGTACCCAAAATGGAACCCTGCTGACAAAAAGTAACTAATGACTAAACCCCGCGGTCCATAGCCATATCCTGGTGGTTGAATTTTCACCACCCAATTGAGCACCAGCCATTTCTCTCAGGTCAAGGTCCTAATCTTGACCCCGGATGAATAAAGGCCCTGATAATTCATATGGGGTGTCTTTTCCATTTTTTTAGCGGGAATCAGACCACTTTTCGAGGGGTATGTGCCCAAAATGGGAACCCTGGTAGACCATGGATTAAACCTGTGGTCCCATGGGGGTTTAATTTTGACCCACAGCCATATTAATGAACAGAGGTTTATTTATCCGATTTCAACACTACCCTCAAATTTCTCGCCTCGCAGCCCAGGCGCGCCAGCCCAAGCCCCAGCAGCCCGCAGCCAGCGCCCAGCCTTGCGCGGCACCGGCGGTCGAGACGTCGAGACCCGCGGCGTCCACCGATGGAACCGAAGGGAAAACCTGCTTAAGCGGGCGTGCCTGAAGAAAGTGGTTAAGCCTGGCTATAACCCACAAAAGCCATGGTTGCAAGTCTCCTAAGTGGGTTATAATCAGGCTTACTAACCACTTCGTAATTCCCTGCCCCTTCAAGTAGGAAAAACCAAAGTAAAAGATCCAAAGCCGGGAGCCCAAGCAAAAGCAGCGAAACCCAAGACAAACAACTGGGGCCCCGATCTTGTCGGGAGTCATTCAGGGTACCGTATTGCCAAGGCAACAGGGGGTGATGGGCCATGTTTTTTTTCTGTGCTGTATGTCCTTGTTTTTCCTTTTTTTTCGCATGGTCGATTTACTTGCAACATGGAGTTGACATCCACCGTACCACAGTAGAAGGGTGGGGGGGCAACAGCTTTTTTCATGCGGCTCTTCAATGACAATCATGTCAAGCCCCCAAAACAAACCGTCTGCTCGGCATTGATTCCAAGCAAGGACGCCAATTCTGAGTGCTGCAACTCACAACGGACCGCCCAAGTCAAGGAAACCCCGGAACAAGCACGACACATCCTGCCGGAGACTGATGACAATGCTGCCTTCCGTACTTGTCACAGGTCGGCCCAGTGTCCACCGAAAACTCTTTGGGCTTCCCTTTCAAACCACTAAATTTCCAGCTCATCCTGGCAAACGGGCACACCCTTGTGACTACCCGACCGGCCCCATTATGCTACCATCAAAGCCGAGTGGGTCGAAGGGAAACCACCCCAGTGATTCTCCCCGGATCAACATGGAACTCAAAAAGCACCGACGATTTGTAGAGGAATCTCCTCTTGAAAGCGCACTCTCGATTTGGGCTCCATGTTTGATCTGCAGGTGGGCAACCCCCAGACACGGTCAACTTCTTTCGCCCACGTTCGCCCACTTTGGCACTCTGACTCCACGACTCGGAGACGTCGGCCGAGACCTCAGCTTTTGATTTTTTCGAGAAGGAAAGTGTCGGAGGCAGCGGGTGCTTTTAGAGAGGCGATCGATTCGGTACGTCAGGTTAGTGATGGCAAGCCTGGTGAGATAACAAACAACCATGGCTGAGAAGTGGTTATAACTATAACCGTGGATATTACCTATTTACCTCACGTACAATGCCCCTTTAAGTGTGAACTTCCATAGGCCGACGCATGGTGGACATCAACATTTGGATTGAAGAAGGTCCGCCAACCACTTGTGAGGTGGTTTAAATTTCGAAGCCATTTCAGCTCCACTCTCGGTGGTTTGGAAGGATGGTTGGTGCAAAGTCCCATTTATCTGTCGGTGGGAGTGAAACGCTTTGTCTTTACAGATTCTTCCTTGGAAACCTTGGTGTTTGGGGGGAGGGAGGGGGGAAGAAAAGCCACATTCCCAAGGGGACCAAAAGGGTCCTGGTACACGGTGTTCAACCAACCTGACCTGAAAAGATCATCCATCTGGCAAATGGTGGGCTCGTCTGTACAAAATGGACAAGCCGTATCCCAGTCACCGTTAGTGGTCTTCCCATGACTACAAACGCTTCGGGGCGGCATCCACACATCGAAGTTCCCCTCATCGCTGCCTATCGCATGGCCGTCGGAAATCATGAGCTCCACCCCGACCCCCTCTCACCCCCCCCCCCCATGATGTTCGATTTTCCCCAAGAAAAGCCTCTGCCAATCAAACCTCTCTGGGCCCGGGACGACGCTTTTGCATTCAGCCGCAAAATGAGGCTCCTTCCCCCCCCCTTTTGCCCCCCCTTTTTCCAGGCAGCCTGGAAGAACCTCTCGCTCCAAATACCGCAGGAGGAAGAATGCGGTCTCCCAAACCTCGGGTTTTAGATGCGCCCAAAGACCGAATTTCTCCTTCTGGAAACCGCCAACTCCGACTTGGGTCTCCAAAATTTCAGCCGAGTTTGCCTTTTTTTAGCGGACCCTCCCCACAAAAATGGCGGCGTTCCTTTTTGTTTTAGCTTAAAACCTACCAAGAAGAGGTACCAACTCAAAAAGAGACGAGCCACCCTCCTGGTGACTTTGCTTTCTGGGCACCTCTTGCAGGCTTCCCTTTTTTGGCACCTGCGGGGAAGCGAAGGCCGGAACCAAAACCACCCCTTGCGAGGGTAAGCCACATGTGCCTCGGAATACACAGCGACACGTCAGCGCTCGGCTCTCAGCCAGTGGGTGACCAAACTTTTGCTAGGCGCAGTTGTTACACCTTCGTAGATTGGCGGAGAAAAAGACACGCCTCGTGGACATTGACGTTTTGTGTCACCTGATGTCCCTTGGATTGACTTGCAATATTCTTCGTTGGCATCTGACCAGCTTAGCATGTCCTGCGTCTTAAAATGGGAACCCGCAGAGACGGTCCTGATTCAATCGACACCTGCCATAGGACTCCAATGGAGTCCGATTGTTTCTCCCAGCTTCCACCACAGTAAGTCATCAAATAGGGCCCTCAGAAGAGGCAGTTTCAGGCTCCTTACCCTAAAAACCATCACCCCCTCACAAAAAAAGCAGTTTCATGCTACCCTAAAAGCCATCACCCCCGAGGCGGTTTCATGCTCCTTACCCTAAGACCAAGGCGAAAGGCCTCCGAAGGCCCTCGAGCACGCCTTCGGTCCCGAAGGCCTCCGAAGGCCTCTGAAGGCCTCCCGGAACTGAGACCGGCGCGACGCCTCCGCTGTGCTCCTGCGTGGATCTGTCTTGCGACACCTGAGGCAGGATGGCCGCTGCTCTGAGTCTCTGTGCCCCCAGAGCTCCACAAACAGCACTCGGCTGGCTGGTAAGCGGGGAAGTTGGGCATGACCCATTCCCATATCTCCCACTAAGCGCAAGCAAGTTGGGAGAACGCTTCACCTGTGACCCCACCACTTCATTTAAAGGCTCGCTGATCCCTCGCTAAAAGTTGAAACCTTTAGTGGGATATGTCGTCCAATTCCCCTAAGCTCTCAAGATGTGGGTGTGTCTTTTGAGGATATGCCGTTTTTGTGGTTCTGAAGGGAAACTAAAAGGAAAACCACAAAAGGACAGACCCATATCAAAGCCTCAAAACTCCAGTGACGCTGCCAACAATGCTTGGGGTGGTACAAAAAGGGCCTACTTAAAGGGGCAGGGTACTTGGTAATTGGTTAGCAAGCCTGGTTATTACCCACTTAGCATGGTTGCAAGTCTCCTAAGTGGGTTCTACTCAGTGCTTGAAGTCGCAGCATGCCAAAGTGAAACAACAGCAGACACAACTCACAGCTCCGAGCGGAAGAGCAAGCAGTGCCAGGGAAGCCTGATCAAACTCCATGTGTCTACCCAGAACCTTGCAAGGCATTCAAAAGGCGGAGATCCGCACCAAAAAAAAAATACGGCTGGGATTATCCCTACTACCCTCCAACTGTCCGGGCTTTGTTTGTGACTCATGTCCCAAAAGTGGTTGGTGCTGAATTAAACTCCTCTTGGTCTCCGTAAGCCAACTGAAAGGGTTCCGAGCCGAAGGGATGGACAGTGTCTCCCGTAAACCAGGGTTCCACGGTAACACCCACAGAAGAGTAAAACCCGGGATTCGGCCCTTCTGTTGGGAAACCAACCACCCCTGAGTTCAACCTCCCCTCATTAAAAAAAGAAAAAAGAAAAAAGAACGAGGCGCAAGAGTTCCAAGCCGCGGCGTCTGCAACGAAAACTCTGAAAACCAGGAACTCCAGTGAGCCGAACCCCCGCAACCCACGCTCTTGGCAAGTGGAAAACTGCCCGCGCGCATGTTGCCTATGTTTGCGCTGGGGTTATTTTTTTCAGCTTCTGGGACCGTTTTCTGGCTGAAACGAAAAGATGCCCTTGCAAGCTGGTGCCATTTTTCAATAGACCGGACATAGTGAACATTCGGGCAGACCGATGTCCAGCCACTTTCGACTTTCGAGATGGCGACTCCTAAGGCTTCATGCCCACCCCGGCATCCCATTCGCGACGGATCCCTCAAAGGCAACTTTGGGATCTCACCAAACCTCCACGGGTTTGGTTTCGGAGGTTCTCCGGCCCGGTCCAAATGGCTGACTTGAAGCTCCCATGGTCCAACAAATCTCAACCAACTCCTTGACTTGGCTACCCCGGTTTTCCGATCCGCCAAAAGTCGGGAACTTGAGGAATAAGTTCGGAAACTACCACGAAGTAGCAAAAAGCTCAAAAGCTCAAGAACCGGATTCTAGCTGGGAGCCGCCAAGCTGAGACTAGGTCATGCTTGTCCAAAAACTCTTCATGGGCTTCACCATGCCTGACCCCGAATCCAATGGGTGAAAGAGAAAACAAAAAACACATGGCGCGCACGCAGTGGTTTCGAAGTTTCATCCTGCCAGACTCCGCCTCCAGGACAGAGCCCCCGATCCGCAGGCACAGCGAGGGGCGATTGGCCAACCTTGTCCAAACGTGTCTCGCCACGAAAATCTCGCACGTGTCTGGCCCTAAAAAGATTGGGCTTCCCCGAAAATGATGAGCACATTGCCCCCCTTTCAAAGACATCATGGTCACTCCACCTAGAGCCCAAAGCCGTCCAATTCTTTGTGACTTTTAATTGAAAAAACTGGACCGGGTGGGTGGAGAGGGTGGGCTGGTGTCAGTTTTTGGATCCGGGAAAGGTTTCACAGAAGCTGGGGGTCTTGCAAAACACAACACCATCCGCACCCGTCTTCTTTTGGAAAGCTGAAGATGGTACTGTTAAACGTTATAAGTAGTTGTAAGGACCAGACTGAAAGCCGTGGAATCCACAGATCAACTTAACCGACCTGAGTTTCTCTCTTTGGGGAACCTCCAAAGTGGTTGGTGTGTCTTCTGCACCCCTCCTTCTGTTGGTCTGCTTGGAAGCCAGAGACAATTCTCGGCCCCAATCTATTTTTCAGGCACACCCCTCTAAGGATGACCGGTGCAAACTCACCGGAACTGGGCAGTCCGTTTTCTATCCCGGCTAAAAGTGACAAAAAACCAACTAAAACCTACAAAAAACAAAAACAAAAAAGTCGAACCCGTGGGCTGGGCACCACCAAGAGCAGGGAGCACATGCAACCAAGAAATTTGAACCCTGGCGAAAGAGACCCAAAATGGCGCGACAGGTTCGACCCTGAAGAGAGGTCGCCTCATTTCTGACTCCGGGTCTTTGTGTCTGTCCGCCAAGAGATTTGAACTCCGGGTCTGTGAAGAGAGAAAATAAAAGACCCCAAGTAACAACCCTTCAGACATGAGGCAACCTCATGTTTCGTCTAGTCAGACAAAGCCTCCATCACATGTGCGCTACATCTTTGGTTTAGGGAAACCAAAAGGAAAACCACCACTCGCAGGTGTTGGACCTTGGACCCCTCGAAATGGTTTCGGTTTCCTGGTTTTAACACAAAGATTTGAGCGTACACCCGGAGAAGAAGACAAAATGGACAGACCCATTTTGGGAGGGCGAACGGAAAAAAAATGAGCCACCCACACTTAGACCCAGGGCCAAGCCAGGCGCAGCGACTTTCTCTGAGGCCAAAGCTCGAACAACTTCTCGCTCGGCTGGTCGCAGGAGCTCAGCGCTGCCTGCGCATCGGTACTTTCTCTGGACGCCGAGGCGCGCTTGCGCGCAGCAACTGACAAACGCACGGGTCTGCCTTTTAGCGTTCAACGGGGTTCCTTTGCTTGCTACAAGTACATGGACGCGCACAATGGTTCCTTGGGTTGGGCAACAAAAAACGCAAAACAGTCTTCCGTGTGTTCAATAGGGTGGTTTCTTTGGTCGCCGGCTTTACAAGTAAATGTATCTGGGGCTTCAGAGAGTCTTGCTCAATTTCCGGACTTCAAGGGAGCGTTGCCGTTCGTGTGTCCAACTGGCAGAAATCGAAACTGGTAAGCCCGCCTCAATGTCAACGGGGCAAGAAACCCGTGGCTTCGATTTGCTCTCTTTGGCATCACCTGATGTCCACATACGCATGTCCACATGGGCGCGTCCACATGACCTTTCTGACTGATAAGGTTCCTCTTGATTTCCCATTCAAGATTGGCCAAATGGGTGACACCTCGTGCGTGTTGCTGCGACCGGCAGGGGTCCCAAGAATATTTTCCTTAAACATCGCCCCATCGAGAGAAAATGAACTTGAAACTGAACCCTGAAAAGCAGAGCTCGCTGGATTTCCCCATCAAAAGCTTGCAGTTTACTCGTGGCTTCCATACAAACTGCCACTTTTGGAGGTTCCTTTATAAAAATAACTCACAAACATTGAAAAGGTGCATGTCTAAACCAACCCTAAGATGCATATATAGGGAACCCTCAGTGAAAGGGACCCGTTTTCAGTCGCTGAGGCGCCAACGGTCGTTCGGCGCCGGCCTCTTCTTTGATTCCTCGGCCTGAACGAAAGTCCAATGGGCAAGACAAAAAGAACGCTTCAAGTCCAAAACGGAACGCTTGGCTACCTTGGCCGTTGGGATCGATTGAATGCCAATTCATATTCTTTGAAAGAAGTATGCCTCTGATGCAAAGACTTTTTCTAGATCATTCCTCCCAAACCAGCCGCTGGTCTTCTAGACAAAACAAAATGTAGATTTATGTGAGTTGGATCTCTAGACGAACCGCTTGGCCACAAGTCCTTTATGTTGGGATTCTAAACATATGAATAAATACATGAATGAATGAATAAACGAATAAAATACATAAATATGCAAATAGAATACAATCTAAAAAAATGAACGAATGAATGAACGAATGAATGAACGAATGAATGAATGAATGAATGAAATGAATGAATGAAGAATGAATGAATGAATGAATGAATGAATGAATGAATGAATGAATGAATGAATGAATGAATGAATGAATGAATGAATGAATGAATGAATGAATGAATGAATGAATGAATGAATGAATGAATGAATGAATGAATGAATGAATGAATGAATGAATGAATGAATGAATGAATGAATGAATGAATGAATGAATGAATGAATGAATGAATGAATGAATGAATGAATGAATGAATGAATGAATGAATGAATGAATGAATGAATGAATGAATGAATGAATGAATGAATGAATGAATGAATGAATGAATGAATGAATGAATGAATGAATGAATGAATGAATGAATGAATGAATGAATGAATGAATGAATGAATGAATGAATGAATGAATGAATGAATGAATGAATGAATGAATGAATGAATGAATGAATGAATGAATGAATGAATGAATGAATGAATGAATGAATGAATGAATGAATGAATGAATGAATGAATGAATGAATGAATGAATGAATGAATGAATGAATGAATGAATGAATGAATGAATGAATGAATGAATGAATGAATGAATGAATGAATGAATGAATGAATGAATGAATGAATGAATGAATGAATGAATGAATGAATGAATGAATGAATGAATGAATGAATGAATGAATGAATGAATGAATGAATGAATGAATGAATGAATGAATGAATGAATGAATGAATGAATGAATGAATGAATGAATGAATGAATGAATGAATGAATGAATGAATGAATGAATGAATGAATGAATGAATGAATGAATGAATGAATGAATGAATGAATGAATGAAATGAATGAATGAATGAATGAATGAATGAATGAAATGAATGAATGAATGAATGAATGAATGAATGAATGAATGAATGAATGAATGAATGAATGAATGAATGAATGAATGAATGAATGAATGAATGAATGAATGAATGAATGAATGAATGAATGAATGAATGAATGAATGAATGAATGAATGAATGAATGAATGAATGAATGAATGAATGAATGAATGAAATGAATGAATGAATGAATGAATGAATGAATGAATGAATGAATGAATGAATGAATGAATGAATGAATGAATGAATGAATGAATGAATGAATGAATGAATGAATGAATGAATGAATCAATCAATGAATGAATGAATGAATGAATGAATGAATGAATGAATGAATGAATGAATGAATGAATGAATGAATGACTGAATGAACAAATAAATACCCAATGACGTCATAGAATTCCCCGCCTTGGATTGGCCAAGCCCGCGCTCGCGCTGCTTTCGCCGCGCACCCTGGCGTGGCATCCTCAACCATGGCGTGCGCGCCCGCGCCCGGCTGAGCTTGGGTATCTCTCTTTTTTGAGGTTACCCTCTTTCTGGTTTTATTTTTTGGGCCACTTGGAAAAACGAAGCCATTTTGGGGGTACCCCCTTGCTTGCGTTTTGTATTGTTAGATGCCAACAGGAAAACAGCTGGAGGAATACACATTGAAGCCATCACCTGTTGGGCATTGGGTGAGCCATGGCCATACTGTCAACAGACAAACGCTTTGCGTCATTGATCTTCCAGAAGCAACCCTTACAGCAATTGTCAACATGGTGGACCCCTTCTCAAATAGTTAAGGGAAAGCCAACAGAAAACCAACACTGTAAAGGAACCGATTGCAATCTTAGCTAGATAGCAAACAGGAGGAGAAAAAAAAACAAAAAACAAAAAACGGCAAACCCTACCCTTTTGGGTTTTCTTTCGAGTGAATTAGATTTTTTTCGCGCCGAGATTCCCTATCAAGAAGCGAACGACCACGGGAATCCGAACGCGGACAGCTTCAAGCCAATGTCAGCGGCCAAGTTCAAGAGGGGCATGAAGACTGGTCGACCTTCAACCCAAAATCTAGGATTTGAGTTTCCCGGCTGTTTTAGTAAAGCGCAAAGGCGGCGCAACAGTGCTGGAAGCTGACCTGCGAGACCCATGTTATAAATATATATATATATGTTCCAGGCTGTGAACCCCCAAGAAGAGAACCAGCAAGAGAAACCAATTGACATCACTAGGCTGTTCGAAGCCATGAGGTGACCCTTGCGCGAGTCGTGTCACGAGCGAACGTTGCGGTTTCTCCACCGAGACGTTGCAATTGCAAGGTGCGGGGTCGCGGGCGACGAGCGTGTTTGGCCCTGCGCGCGTGTTTGTGAGGGGAGTACTCGAAGCCAGCCGCGTCGAGCTCGGATTTTGGCCTGTCTGTGTCTAGCGCAAAGGAGCTTATACATTGGAGGCTCCGATTTACGCTTCGCTTTCGGCGCCATCGCCCTCTGCTTTCGCGTTCACGACTTGTTGCCGCGAGCAGGCCAGGAGATTCACAGACCTGCGGAAACCCGGGGAATCGTTGCAAAAAACAAAAGCAGGGAATCTACGTGCCACGCTTTTCCCGGGCCTTCTTCCAGGGCCGCCAGGGGTCCCAGATTTGGGACGCATCTTCGCCCGCTCGCTTTCCTTGCTAAACAAATGCACCTGCCTGTTTTTTAGAACCGGGCGGTTCCAATTTCCGGGCCCAGCCTCGAAAAGAACACCGGCGCAACGCCAACATCAACACAACAACGCCCCTTAGTAAAAGGATCCCCCAGACTCCGCTTGACGCGACTTTGGATTCCCCGGGTTTCCGCAGTGTCCGGCGCAGTTGTGTCTGTTCGCGTGGGATGGAGTTGCGAACTTCATACTTGAAGGGAAAAGGGGGTGGGTTCGGGGTTAACCAGCAAAACACACACCTACCCACAACAAATCAACCACCCACGTCAAAAAATCGAGTGCCAAGAACCTGGGTTCATGGGTGATGTGGGTGCTCGAAATTAAACAGGAGAGCAAACCGCAGGTTTTGGTCCATGTTTCCACTTGCCAGGGTTCCATTGGCTCCGGTTTTTTGAGCCACAACCAAACCACACCCGCCCAAAAAAAGAATACGATGTTAACCAGCTACCAATTACCAACCCAAACCAATCACGGATACCAACCAACCACCAAACCAACCAACAAACAAACAAACAAACCAACCAACCAAACAACCAACCAGCCAACCAACCAACGAACCAAGCAACCAACCAACGAACCAACGAACCAACGAACCAACGAACCAACAAACCAACGAACCAACGAACCAACGAACCAACCAACACGAACCAGCCAACCAAACAACCAGCCAGCCAGCCAGCCAGCCAGCCAGCCAGCCAGCCAGCCAGCCAACCAACCAACCAACCAACCAACCAACCAACCAACCAACCAACCAAACCACACACCCGTCACCTCAAGCAACCAACAAATCAACCAACAACCAACCGCCAAAACAAAGCCAAACACAAGCCCGGCCAGCCAGTCCAGCCAGCCTAACCACAAGCCCAACCAACCAACCAACCAACCAACCAACCAACCAACCAACCAACCAACCAACCCAAACCAACCAACCAGCCAAACCCCGACAACAGCAACTACAACACGCGACCTGCAACCGACGCCTGCGCAAACCTTGTTTGGCTCTTCCTGGTTCAAGTGGCAAGTGTGATTACTACGCTTATTGACCTGCAGCGTTGCCATCGTTTTGCCAACTGCGCCTCCAGTATGTTGCTTCGCGATCCCAAAGCGACGCCAACGGCTCTTCGACGGACGCTCCCTTGTCTCAAGTCGACGGACGTGACGCTTGCAAGGGTTCCCCTGAGCAGGCGCAGGTGCCAGACGCACTGCCTCCGTCAGCAATCCTTTCTCTCTCTTTAGAGGGGATTCTCCAGACTTGATGCAGCTGAGGGGGTTCTGACACGGTCGTCGTCGTTCGGTCGGTCGGCGGTTGGGGAACCCTCTTTCTCGCCTTGCAGAAACGCAGCTACGGGGCAAATTGCAAGCGTATCAAGGGGTCGATATAGCGCACGCACGGGGCTCCCTGCAGCACGTTAGCTCTCGGATTCTTCGAGGGACGAGGTCGCTGGACGGACGAGTGACCGACGACGAGCGAACGACGACGACCGACGACGACGACCGACGACGACCGACGACCGACTGACGACCGGCAACGGCCATAGGGGAACCCCGACACCGTGAGAGTTTTCCAAAGTGCCCCGTGGAACTTTGCGAATTCCGAAACGGAGTTTTCCGCAGTGTCGCCTCAAAAAGGACACTTCGGAAAACCGCGATTTGGCCGCCAAACCGGACAAAATCCTGGAGGCGACCGACGCCAACGACCAACGAGGAGAATCTGGCGCCCAAGCACCGTGAATGGAAGTTTTCCCGCACGCAGTCGCCTCTTCAGGGCCACTGTGCAAGTTGGCCAGAATGTGAGTTTTCCGCAGTCGGGGCTGCTACCCCCCACTTTGGAAAACTCCCAGACGCCGACGATCTACGACCCGTTTCAACACAGGTGCGCCCTGTGTTGAACACCGGGAGGGTTCTGACACTTGTCCATCCAAGGAAACGACCTCGTCCTGCGAAGGATTCGAAATCTAAAATGCTGCGTGCAGGCGTGTGGCTGCAACAAAACGACCCCTAGATACGCTTGCAATTTGCCTCCAAGTTGCATTCAGCAAGCCGAGCTTTGCAAGGCTAAGAAAAAAAAGAAAAAAACAGGGGTCCCCAAAAAAGGGGGCCCAAAACAAAAGGGAAAAGGGGCTTCCTTTGGCAAATTGCAGCGCATATCTAGGGGTCGCTTTGTTGCAGCCACATGCCTGCACGCAGCATTTTAGATTTCGAATCCTTCGCAGGACGAGGTCGTTTCCTGGACGGACAAGTGTCAGAACCCTCCCAGAATCCGTTTGGGGAATAGCCTCTAAAGACAGAGCTTGCCCTTGTCAATATTGATCCATTATTGACCTTCCGTCGATTCAAGATGATTCAATATTGACTCAATATTGACTCAACAATGGCCTGGTATGGAAGCCTCAACACCAGCCTGGTATCGAAGCCTCACCACCAGCCTGGTATCGAAGCCTCAACGCCAGCCTGCCGAGTCATACGGATCATACGGATCATGCGATCATACGGTCATACCTGGAACGGCGCGCTCCAAATGCGTGTCTAGTAGGAGGATTGATTTGCTCCCAGAGCTTCCGGAGCATGGTTTCAGCAGCGATCATCTGTGGGTGTGGCCCACACATGCCGCGATCATCTGTGGGTGCGCCGGGCCCATCACCGGGCTCCGAACGCGCGCCGATTGCGTGCTTTCAACCATATCGACGAGACGATATCGTTGACGGAGCTTCCGGTACCCAGGCATGTGTCAGAAACTAACACACGCTACGCTCCAAATCCACGGCCACCCACGGACTGCGTCACCCCGTGACACGTACTTGGGGAAAAGAGTTTTCCGAAGTCGGGGCTGCTACCCCCCACTTCGCAAAACTCCCAAACGCCGACGAAGCACGACCGGAATCCGGACAGAATGGTACTCAACTGCACTCGCGGCAGGAATCGCGCCCGCGCGGGGCAAGAACCCGCAAGCCAACGCACCGCTGTTGAACCACTGGACCAACAACGGCGGCGAAACACACGGGAAGCCGGGTTCGATAGTTCGGCAGCGTGTCCTCCGACGCCTCACTGGATAACCGCACGTTTTCCGCAGTCGGGGCTGCTACCCCCCACTGGATAACCGCACGTTTTCCGCAGTCGCCTCTTCCAGGGGCGACTGTGCGCAAACACTCGTCGAGTTCCTCCAACGCCTCACTTCGTGATAACACGTTTTCCGAAGTAGCCTCTTCCAGGGGCGACTTCGTGCAAGGACTCATGTTTCCAGGACCAGTCACCGGGAACATCTCGGAGGTAATGGACAACGGAGAGGTAACGGAAGGCACCGCAGGGCCGGTGCACGCGCAGGCAGACCTGGCCGTGAACACGGCAGCATCCGGCAACAACGCCAGTGCCATCCAGTCCTGGACGACAGCAGCGGACTGGCGCCGGCAATCGCACCTCTGGCCACGCAACCCTTGCTTTCTCTTTCGTCTCACCCCCCCCCTTTTGCGATGTCTTCTCACCTCCTTTGTTTCCTGGCTTTTGCGCAGACGCGTGCTTGACACGGAACGCTGCCTCGGGTTTAAAAAAAAATGGCTGCGCACGGGAGCAGCATCGCAGCGCTGCAAACCTCTGACCACGGGTCTTTCAAACAAGGCTGACCAGTCGGCCTTCGACGTTGCTGGAGGGCGCGGCGGCCACGAGAGCACCGACGGGTGGGCTTGAAGCTTTGAACTACAGCACCACGGCGACATTGCTGCAAGGATTTCCGCACTGGCCGCTTTTCACGGTGGACGTTGGACACACCACTGGAGGTAGATAGCAGGTCTTGCCACCGAGCTTCGTCGAGCGCAGTTGCTAGCCGGGACGCTGGCGC